ATTGCTAAAGATAGCGATTCTCTTTTGTACGTTTCCTTTAAAAATTTAGGTAGCTGTAAAGTTCTTCAGTCTCAGGTGAAAATCTGTTTCAACCTCTTGCCGTATCCAATAGAGAGTAATGCAGTCTGCGAAGCACAGTTGTTGCGAAATCCGGTCGATCTGCCGACAGCCTGACAAATAGCAATTGTGGCATTGCAAGATTACAAAATCCAAGAACTTGCAACCAATTTTTTGCTAATCACCTTATCTAGCCCTCTGGCAATTACGATGAAGTGTGGACAACGAGAGACTACCACCAAAGTGATAAAAGTTAATTCACTTTTAAAAATGCAGCCCGAATCCAGTGGCTTTGTAGGCACCACGAGATTACATTCTAGATATTCTGTTAGCGCCTACAAGAATATCACATACAAAAGTCACCCTGTAGAAATACCCTACAAATGCTGTGAACATCTCCCAGAGAAACAAAATTTACCAAAATTAAAACCGATCAAGCTAAGCAAGATCGATACTGAAGAACTCGAAATTGCCAATCACAAATTAAACCAATATTCTGAACAACTGGACAAAATTATGAACGAGCCGTTTGTTTCGAGACATCTCTCATGGTTCACGTATTTCATCATCACCCTGTTAGTTATCATCGTAGCTTTGTACCTGTTCTGCAAGTGCAGATAACGTAGACCTCTCAGCATCTGCGCATCAAATTATCCAGCCGATGGCCCATCTCCAGGAGCACCAAAAGTCTGGTACATTCCCAGACTTTTTCCTCGACGTAGACCAACCATCCAGCCACATGAAGAAGACATCGAACTGCAGTGAGTGTTCCGTGAAGTGTTTTCACTGTTCAAAAAGTCATTTTCAATCTTCGTGTTATCTTCCATGTGATTTTGCCCGTACGACTGTACGATTGTATCTTATTATTTGTTTGTTCCAGCTTTGCTTTTAGATGTTATTTTGTATCACCAATGTACTGCATTTATGCTAACAATTTTATTTTTCAGAATCTGTATTTTCTGATTTTACTTTTGCAATTTGTATTTTGCAATTTTACTATTTTTATATTTCTATATTTTTACACCTTTTATATTTTTACAATGTTTAAAATTTTACACTTTACACTTTTACAATTTTTATAATTTTACAATTTTTACATTTTTCAATTTTTGTCAAAAGTTGTCGCATAGCAACAACTTTTTGTAATAGGGGGGAGTTGTTATATGGCCATAGTAACTACGCAGTTATTATACAATGTTGCACCAGACGCTGTGTCAGCATATGATAACAACTTCTCGCTAATCCGTTGCTAGAGTAGCCTTTGCTGTTTTCCACTAATTCTTAGTCAGCTTTCCGAATGTATAAATAGGCCTCGCGGCCATATCCTGTTGTTCAATACCCGGTTAGACTCCGTAAATGTCACATTTGTAAACCTTTGTATTCAGTCCTCAAATAAAATTTTTTTAAAAGTTATTTCTAAATCTAATGATTTAAGATATATATATATATACAGGGTGTTCCATAATTATTGCGACAAAATGATAGGGGTTGTAGAGGGCATAAAAATATGCAATTTTGCCTTATAAACCCCTGTTCGTAAATATGCCGTTTGAGCACTACCGCTAATTTTACCTTAAGAGCTCATAGGAGAAACAAAAAATTCACCAGCTGCAAAATGTTCGTCTAGCACATTTCATGGTTTCGCCGGTTTGTAAAAAAAGCCTGCTGTGTTTACATTTTTGTTATCGTAAATTCTCCACACCGATTCATTTAATTTATCTGAGTGGTGCGTCAAACTAGATAGTAAATAACAGTACCTTAGTGTTAAAATGCAGCGTTCTTCGTATGCGGAACTTGCGGATATGCATTTAATTTACGAAGAAGCTGGTGGTAACGGAAGACGACCCTCGCGAATCTACGCCTAACGGTTTCCAGAACGTCCTCATCCGCATGACGCCATTTTTGCAAGGATTTATGGAGTTGAGGCAACCAAACTTTGGTCGTTACGTTTTGTTCACTGACGAGTCCTGTTTTACAAAGGACGGTTATTTTAATAGCCGTAACAGTCACATTTGGGATGAAGAAAACCCTCATGCCATAGCCATCCATAGAGACCAACATCAGTTTTCAATTAACATCTGGTGAGGCATTGTGGACGAGCATATCATCGGGCCATATTTGCTTCCACCACGTTTGGATGGGCATGCTTATGGTCGATTCTTACAGCATGTGCTACCGGAACTATTAGAAAATGTGCCACTGAACATAAGAGCCCACATGTGGTTTCAACACGATGGCGCTCCAGCCCACTCTTCTTTACAAGTGCGGCAGTATTTGGACGACAAATTTCCAAATAGGTGGATAGGCCGAGGTGGCCCTGTGCCTTGGCCTGCGCGGTCACCCGACCTGACCCCACTGGATTATTTTCTCTGGGGCCATCTGAAAGCTTTAGTGTACGAAACTCCTGTTCCCAACCAACAAGAGCTACTGGGAAGAGTGATGACCGCGTCCGCACATGTTCAGGACATACCGGGGGTATGCCACAGAGTTCGCCGATCATTGAACAATCGTGCACAGCTGTGTATTGAGCAAGGTGGAGGACACTTTGAGCAATTACTGTAGGTAAGCTGTTTCAAGAAACTGATCTTTTTTTTTTGTTGCAGCCCAAACGGCATATTTCCGAACAGGGGTTTATAAGGCAAAATTGTTTATTTTGATGCCCTCTACAACCCCTATTATTTTGTCGCAATAATTATGGAACACCCTGTATATATATATATATATATATATATCTAAGAAAGGACCAAAACCGGCCAAAACTCCACAGTACGTCAACTGCTCAAAATGTCGTTTCAAATGTTTTGAAAAATTCAGCGAGGATGATAGAATGGAACTGTCCTTGAGTTATTGGAAGTTAGAAGATTTTTGTCGGTGAAAGGATTACATTCTCCACAATGTTAAGGCCAATATTCCTCAGAGGCAACGACATCGCAAGGAGAATGCTAAATCAAGAGGGAATGCAAAAGAGTTTTATTTATTGAAGAACAACGTTCCAACCAGAGTATGCCAAAAGTTTTTTTTTGAAAACTCTTTGTATAAGCAATGGGCCACTAAATAACGCATTCGGAAATAAACATGAAACCTCTGTGTTGTATAGTGCAAACGATATGCGCGGTAGACATGTTCCATCTAACAGGACTTCCCAGGAAGATAAGCAAGTTATTATGAATCATATTGAAAGCTTTCCATTAACTGAGTCGCACTACTGCAGAAAATCTTCACAGAGAAAATACTTGGATGCTAAGCTTTCTATCGCAAAAATGTGCTCTTTGTACAAAGAACTATGCCCAAAAGACAGTCGCAATCCCAAAAGCATGACAACATACAAAAGAATTTTTTGTCTGGAGTATAACTATTCATTTTTCAAGCCACGAAAGGATCAGTGCGCTGTATGCATGAAATATCAGTCAGCAAATGCTGATCAGAAAGCTGCCCTAGAACTATCCTACCGTGAGCAGAGCAACCAGAGACTCCACATTTGTTACTGCGACATTTGATCTCCAAAGTGTATTGCAGATTCCAAGCAGCGATGTGTCACCAATGTATTATAGTAAAAAACTTTGTGCCTACAATCTCACTATTTACGAAGGTGCCCCACCCAGTAATGCATACTGTTATACCGGAAGTCAATGGAGCAAGAGGCAGTATAGAAATTGCAACATGTCTTTTCAAATATATCCATAACTTGTCCAGTCATATTACAGAAGTGTCATTTTTTTCTGATACATGTGGTGGGCAAAACCGTAACCAAAATGTCCTTGGCATGCTATACTACTTTGTTCATCATGAAGATACTCAAATCACTACCATCGAGCAAAAATTTCTTGAATCTGGGCATTCAATGAATGGAATGTGGCAGCATGCATAGTGAACATGAACATGAAAAGAAATATTTGGCTGTTTACACCTTAAATGACTGGATAAATATTTTCAAAATGGCTCAATCCAATAGAAGGAGGAAAAAAGGGATCCATATGTTGTTAAGGAACTAAAGTACTCCGACTTCATTGACTTTAAAACAATTTCTCAAGCACTCTTAAAAAACAGAACGGTCAACACGCAGGGCGAAAAAGTCAGATGGCTCCAGGTCAAATGCTTCAGAATTGAAAAGTTTAGTCCAGGTACTATAAAATACAGATATAGCCATTCAGGTGAATATCATTGCATAAATATCCTAGGACGAGGCAGACCTTCAACGCCTAAACCAACACTCAGTAAAGCATATTCGGCGATGCTGCCGATTTCAGTTCAAAAATATAATGATCTGAAAAAGTTATGCACCACTGAAGTAATTCCTGAAGAATACCATCACTGGTATTCATCATTACCGGTCTCAAAATCCGTTAGGAACAAAAATCCTGATCCCAGTATCGAGGAAAGCAGTAGCAGGGGCGACGAAGGAGACTAAATTAGTTTTGATATCAAAAATGTTAGTTACTGACCTATTTCGTTTTTGACCACGTATTTTTTATTTTTATAAAAATAAAGAGGATTTAGTTGCAAATATTATTTTAATACTTAGCTACAACACTTAAAGACTCCGAGTTGCTTTATCTATTTCCACTTCGCAGTCTGCCAAAAATCATTTAGTCCATAAAGTTTCGATTTTCGATAGTTACGAAAAATAATTTTCCAATCTGACCTACTGTGTATAAGTGCATCCTTTCGAAAACCCTTATCCTAATTTCAATGCATGACTATTGTACAGAACTGAATTTTATGGGATCTTTCAAGTTTAAGATCCAATTATCTCGAAACTATCAATTTGGACTTAACGACTTTTGCTAGAACGCCGACGATGTGTAATTGCTTTTTCCCTTTGCTTGGCTAGGTCGCTTTTTTATTATCTATTCTTCGGTTTATCTTTAATTTAGATTTTACTTGTAAATTGTAAATCTTAACTGTAAGGCAATAAAGGCTATTTGTTTATTTATTTCACTTACTCAAATGGAGCACAATCTGAAGCAGTCGACCAAGGTGGATAACCTCCATAATGATGGGGTGGTGGATAACCCCCATACGGTAAGCTGGGAGGCATGGAAGTACCCTGATACAGAACGGGAGGCCCAGTTGCATTGTCGCTTGTCTGGGTGGCACAATCACGCCTTGTTGCCGATGTTGCTGTCGGCGCCTACACAAACAGAATCGAATAAACATTACGGGGAATGAGCAAAAATATACTAAGCGACATATAAAATACAACATCCAGAATTATTTGTTGAATTTTGATAAAAACTTGTAAACATATTTGCTATCATGGAAGTATACACTGATAAAATGTTGAAGGCATTCCGAGCCGTACTTATTTTGTAAAGGCTTTTTTGTCATATCAGGATCCGAACAATATGAACATGTTTACTTAATGTTCAATAATTTTTCTGTGTAATGGTTCCATTTGTGTCATTGTTGTTTCATTGCATTATCATGCCGAGAGTTCGCAGACGCGGTAATTTCTCTTAACTTTCCGACTTTAAGAGGTGCCAGATAATCGGGTTACGTGAAGCCGGATTTTCTTTTAGAGAAATCGCTAATCGGGTGAATCGAAACGAAGCTACTGTAATGAGACGTTATCGAGAGTGGTTCCAAAAAGGCCGAAATCGACGAGTTAGAGGTACTGGACAGAACGACAGGATCGTTATTTAAGGCAACTAGCACTTAGAGTTTGATATTCCACAACAAAGGGTAGTTGCGAACCAGTGGTTTGATGCTGTCGGTAGCGGAATAACAATGAGGGCAGTATGTCGCCGAATAAGGTGTTTTGGACTGTTTTCAAACCGTCCCCATCTTGTACTACCTCTGAACCGACAGCATCGCCGGCAACGATTGGTATGGTATAGAAAGAAATTTGAATGGAATATGAAATGGAACTCGGTCATGTTCAGCGATGAGTTCAGATTCTGTTTGGGCACACATGATGGCCGTGCAAGAGTAAGGAGGAGACTTGGTAAAAGACGGAAAGTCCAATATTCCATCGAACGGCATATTCATCGCACTGTGGATGTTATGGCATGAAGTGCCATTGCTTACGGCAGCAGGTTACATGTATGGGACATGATGGGAAGAAGGATGTAAAATTCACCGCACGCTCCACAAACATTGGAGGCTCTACGAAACCAAATTATACAATGCACCAAGAAGACATCAATCACCTAATTCAATGAATGCCGCGACGTCTTAACGAATGTGTAGAGACCGGAGGAGCTTCAACACATTAGTAACATTAGGTCGGATATCCCAGCTATTTTAGGAAATTTCGAGTTAAAATTTCAATCACTTTTTATTTATCAGCAGACCTATAACTTGTAACAGTATGCTCAAAATTGCAGCACTTCTAGTCGGTACTGTATTTTCTGTGTCATGTAGTTACTGAAACGTAGCTACACTTACCTGTGAAATATCCGTAGCATTGGTTATTGAAAGAGACTTCACCAGACTCTCAACACCGTTATCACTGCTCAACCACCTCTGTTCAATCTTGACCGTTTTGTTTTCATCCATCCATTTTTGTTCAACCAAACTTTCATAAACGATAGACTCACTCCCATTATTAGATGATGGTCGAGAACCTTTCTTGTCTGTAAATGAATAAACTTAATAAATTAAACAAGCATATATGCATGCATTTTTTTGTATTTCCTGTCGATTATTTACATTAATACAATACCGTAATATACGTATGTCATCCATGGAAATGTCTATATTTAATGACGAATTGAGCGGCGCATTTTCGGCGCGTGTCGCAGTGATGTCATAACTCATGATTTATCATTCTACTGTATTTTGATTAGGTTACTGCCGAGTTTTTGACATACCATGTGAGTAATAATAATAATAATAATTTATTGGTACTATTACACAAAAATGTGTTTGCACAGGTCATTTAAAGTAGAACATAAAAGGTAAGTAAAAGTAACAAACAATACGAAAATAAGACAAACGTAAAACACAAAGTGGCAATAAAAGGTAAAAAAACTTGATAAAACTACTTTAAAATTTAGAGTAATAATAAAATAAGATGGTTAAATAATTATGAAATACTAATCATTTTTCATGTTTGTACTCAAAAGTCCTTACACACGTCTGGAGAACGATAAAATATAATACAAAAATAACATAAAAAAAACACAAACGAAGACAAAGTAATAAATAGTCAACAATTATGGAACAAAGTCGGTAAAATCATTATTTAAAAACTCATCTATGCTGTAAAAAGCTTTCGTCACTAGATATCTTTTCACAGTTGCTTTAAAAATGGTTGAGTTGAGTGTTTGACAAAACTTGGGCAGCGCATTAAAAAATTTCACACCGAAATAATTACTTCCGTGTCTAGTTTTTGAAAGTCTTGTGTACTCTGGTATTAATTCATTGTTGAACCTTGTGTTATATTTGTGAATCTCTTTCGGAGTTCTGTAATCATCGTAATTATTTTTAACGTGGATCAGACATTCCAGTATATATACAGGGTGACTTCGAAGTTGAGTCATTTATTTTAACAGTGAGTAGATCTGATCAAAAGAAATGTTTTTTTCCTTTACCATTTTTCTGGTAAAATTAAAGTAACAAAGTTATAGCCCTTTGGAAGTTTGAGTACCGCCCTGTCTCAATAATGATATTATGTTCTCGTGTTTGGCAACAACAGATATAATCCGCCTTATCCGTTCATCGCATCGGAAACAAAAAAGCGAAAGAATTTGGAACGATCTTTTTACAATTATTTTCTTCAGTTGTATACAGTCAGTATCAGTCGGTAGTCGGTAACGCGTAAGTGAATAATCGTGTCTGTTGCGAGGCTCAAATCAAAAATGGCACATGTTTACGAAAATGCTGAATTTGTGGACATGGTTCTTATTTACGGGGAGTCTTTACAAAATGCTGCCGCGGCATCACGGATCTATGCGGATCGGTTTCCCAATCGAGTGCAACCAACCCCTCGTGCCTTTGTTAATGTAGTACAAAGAGCTCGTGAATCAGGTGACTTAAGACCTCACAGAGGAGATCATGCCGGTGCTCCAAGACCACACGATCAAATAGAACTAGAAGAACAAATTTTAGAATTAGTAAGTGATGATCCAACAGTAAGCACCCGACAAATTTCAACTCAATTGGCGATTAGTCAGTATAAAACTTGGAAAACTCTACGTGAAAATCAGTTCTATCCGTTTCACATACAAAAAGTGCAGGCCTTACAACCGGAAGATCATGAACAAAGGGTTGACTTTTGCAATTGGCTTTTAAATAAACATCAAAATGATGACAATTTTTTAAATCAAATTTTAGTGAGTGATGAAGCCCTCTTTACTAGAAACGGAATTATTAATTCACGTAATTCTCACGTTTGGGCTATTGAAAATCCCCTTGAAATAAGGGAAACCAATTTTCAACAGCGATTTGAACCAATCAACCTGTGGGCGGGAATTGTTAATGGAATTTTAGTGGGGCCTTTTGAATTACCAAATCGCTTAACTGGTGAAAATTATTTTGATTTCTTGCAACACAATTTGCCTGGTTTACTGGAAGATGTGCCTTTAAATATTAGACAAAACATGTGGTTTTTACAAGATGGGGCACCACCCCATTATGCAAGAAATGTGCGTGAATTTTTAAATAGACAATTTAATAATCGTTGGATCGGCCGTGGCGGTTTTGTACCTTGGCCGCCAAGGTCTCCGGACTTAAATCCTTTAGACTTTTGTTTGTGGGGTTGGCTAAAAACTCTAGTGTATAAAACATCGGTTAATACACGCGAAGAATTACGTGCTCGAATTGAGGAAATGAGTACAGTGATCAGAAATCAACCAGTGATTTTATTGCGTGCTTGTAAAGAGACATGGCTAAGACGCGCCCAGCTGTGCGTCGAGCAAAACGGAAATCATTTCGAACAGTTTTTGTGACATGCTTTTGGGCGCACAGGTCCGCACTGAAATACTTGTCGGGAGGATACTTTATAAAACAAGGTAACATTTTTTTTTTTATTTTTTTTTATTTTTACACACATATTTTGGTTTATCTTCCTTCTACAATCATTATCTGAAAATTAATGACTCAACTTCAAAGTCACCCTGTATATGCATGGCACAGTTAAAATTTTTAGGTCGATAAATGTCGTCTTGCAACACTGTCTGAAATATAAGTTTGCTATTATTCTCAAGCATCGTCTCTGAACAGCAAACACCTTCGATACATGACATGAATGTCCCCAAATCAGTATGCAGTATTGCAAGTTAGATTGGAAGTAAGCATAATAGGCTGTCATTAAAGTCGATTTTGTTACGTAGGTATTTAAACTACGTATCATATATGTTATTTTAGATAACTTCTTTGATAAAGAGGTGATGTGTGATTCCCAAGTTAAGCTTGCATCAATAATCACTCCAAGAAATTTCACGGGCTCTACTAAATCACTTCTATGTGGACGAGCACTGAGTAGAAGAGATTGAGTTTTAGCTATGTTGATTGACAAACTGTTGGCATTAAACCAGTTTTGAATATTGTCAAAATGCTGCTGAGAATCGAGCAATACATGGTCAAAGTTACTATTGGAGGATATTGATGTCGTGTCATCCGCAAATAATATACAGGGTGACTTCGAAGTTGAGTCATTTATTTTAACAGTGAGTAGATCTGATCAAAAGAAATGTTTTTTTCCTTTACCATTTTTCTGGTAAAATTAAAGTAACAAAGTTATAGCCCTTTGGAAGTTTGAGTACCGCCCTGTCTCAATAATGATATTATGTTCTCGTGTTTGGCAACAACAGATATAATCTGCCTTATCCGTTCATCGCATCGGAAACAAAAAAGCGAAAGAATTTGGAACGATCTTTTTACAATTATTTTCTTCAGTTGTATACAGTCAGTATCAGTCGGTAGTCGGTAACGCGTAAGTGAATAATCGTGTCTGTTGCGAGGCTCAAATCAAAAATGGCACATGTTTACGAAAATGCTGAACTTGTGGACATGGTTCTTATTTACGGGGAGTCTTTACAAAATGCTGCCGCGGCATCACGGATCTATGCGGATCGGTTTCCCAATCGAGTGCAACCAACCCCTCGTGCCTTTGTTAATGTAGTGCAAAGAGCTCGTGAATCAGGTGACTTAAGACCTCACAGAGGAGATCATGCCGGTGCTCCAAGACCACACGATCAAATAGAACTAGAAGAACAAATTTTAGAATTAGTAAGTGATGATCCACCAGTAAGCACCCGACAAATTTCAACTCAATTGGCGATTAGTCAGTATAAAACTTGGAAAACTCTACGTGAAAATCAGTTCTATCCGTTTCACATACAAAAAGTGCAGGCCTTACAACCGGAAGATCATGAACAAAGGGTTGACTTTTGCAATTGGCTTTTAAATAAACATCAAAATGATGACAATTTTTTAAATCAAATTTTAGTGAGTGATGAAGCCCTCTTTACTAGAAACGGAATTATTAATTCACGTAATTCTCACGTTTGGGCTATTGAAAATCCCCATGAAATAAGGGAAACCAATTTTCAACAGCGATTTGAACCAATCAACCTGTGGGCGGGAATTGTTAATGGAATTTTAGTGGGGCCTTTTGAATTACCAAATCGCTTAACTGGTGAAAATTATTTTGATTTCTTGCAACACAATTTGCCTGGTTTACTGGAAGATGTGCCTTTAAATATTAGACAAAACATGTGGTTTTTACAAGATGGGGCACCACCCCATTATGCAAGAAATGTGCGTGAATTTTTAAATAGACAATTTAATAATCGTTGGATCGGCCGTGGCGGTTTTGTACCTTGGCCGCCATGGTCTCCGGACTTAAATCCTTTAGACTTTTGTTTGTGGGGTTGGCTAAAAACTCTAGTGTATAAAACACCGGTTAATACACGCGAAGAATTACGTGCTCGAATTGAGGAAATGAGTACAGTGATCAGAAATCAACCAGTGATTTTATTGCGTGCTTGTAAAGAGACATGGCTAAGACGCGCCCAGCTGTGCGTCGAGCAAAACGGAAATCATTTCGAACAGTTTTTGTGACATGCTTTTGGGCGCACAGGTCCGCACTGAAATACTTGTCGGGAGGATACTTTATAAAACAAGGTAACATTTTTTTTTAATTTTTTTTTATTTTTACACACATATTTTGGTTTATCTTCCTTCTACAATCATTATCTGAAAATTAATGACTCAACTTCAAAGTCACCCTGTATACTGATTGATGCTACAGTTTGGCAGATCATTGATGTAGATCAAAAAAAGAATCGGTCCCAAGACACTTGCTTGGGGAACTCCGTGCTTAATATGCACATTGTTGGATAAACAATTTTGAAAACTAACATACTGTCTTCTATCTGATAAATAAGACGCAATTAAGGACAGGCTATTATTACTAAAACCATACAGCGACAACTTTTGAATCAAAATGTGATGTGATGAGTATAAAGTATTTATAGGTAATGTTTAATACTACAAATTACATTTAAAAACTGGAACCCCAAACTGAAAGTTTGTCAATCAATGACAGTGAAAACAAACGCATGCCATTTTAAATCGGACTGACCACTCAACAAAGGATTGCCTGGTCACAAGTAGCAAGTAGTGACGACACGAATAGCGTCGCGTTTCGACATTTTAAATTTAGCACGTATCATTCTATTTTTTATTTATATATACTCGAAATTTTATATCGCTCAAGTATAAAAAAATATTAAGAGAAATTAGGAACATGTTTGGTTTATCGTCTAGAGAGTCATGCAGATCTTGATTTCAACAGGAGAAATTACTCTACCATCAATTTATATGAATCAACTGCTAACGCATGCAAAACAAAATTTAAATGGGTTTGTTACAAATGCTGATTTACACAGCTATGAAACTATAAACTGAGACACCCTTGTTTTGACTAGTCACAATTTGTCATTTTGTGAAATGTCTCCAAAATATGTGGCAACTAAGTTATATAATAAGTTAGATGCAAGCTCAAAGAGCATAATAGATACAGGATATGTGCATTTTGAAGACTACGCATTCTATAATATACGGAAATTCTTGAATATGTGATATTTTTATTTGTCTGTATACATATATGATACCGATTTTAATCTGCTTGTACATGTGCTATTTCTTAATATGTCTTAATATGCTTTAAATTTGTATTTGTAGTGTTTTTTTTTTATACTCCAACTACCACGAAGGCCTAAGGCCTAAGCACCCATTGGGTACCGTGGGGCTATGGGGGATACATGGGAAAGGGGGGACGCCACACGGACTCTGGCGAGGGAACACGTGTGCATGCAACATGCACACATTCTGGCTCCGCCTACGAGAACCGCCGGGTGGTACCTCCGCGTTCGACAGTCAGAGACCCTCTACCACCTACGGACAATCACAACATCCATGGCCAAGAGAAACATTTCTCCTGGGACGGGACTCGAACCCGCACAGCGCACGGCGACTGATCAGGAGACCGAAGAGTCTACTACTGCGGTCACCGCTGCTGCCTAAAACAAACACACAACATCCATGGCGGAGGCGAGATTCGAACTCGCGGCCCGGCCGGCCGGCTGATCAGTAGCACGACACTCTGACCCACGCGGCCAACCGAGGCCCCATGTGTGTGTGTAGTCCACTGAAATAAATATTTCTATTATTATTAGTATGAAATAAGGTTTAAGGCGTTATTCTGTAGCATTATACACCCTAAATAAAAACGATTAAGCGACATTTGAATCACATCCATATTCCCTATTATCCTTGTGAATCAACAAAATCAGTTAAGTGTGTTGTTGTAATTTTATATTATACCTGGTAATTGAGTATTGGGAATATTTCTAGAGCAGAATGTAATGAGCAATTCATTCAGTTTTTTTTTTCAAATAAACAAAGATATAATTAACGTTATCGGGTTATCTTTTAGTCCATGAAGTATCTTCGCATCTCTCGGAAATATATGGTTTTTCGGTTTTCTTGTCATGCAGTTTCTTTTTTTCGAATGTGCAACGTTACTGCGGTCAATATGGTTCATTCTAGAATTCCAGAATTTTGGTTAATAATACCAATAATAATAATAATTTAGGAGATAATTTCTCGTGATCGGACCTATACCCTTCCTCGCCTATATCAAGTGATTTCACATCTCTAGACATTCTCATTTTGGGCTAAGAAGAAGAAAGTACGATTGAATTAGAAATCAGCATTACTCCCACAATTCTCCGAATACCGCTCTATATGCATGGACGTGTCATCGAAAATTGGAATTCCAACATGAACCAAAATACCTGCACACAACTTCTGAAATTATTATTTTCAAACAGAATCAATTTTGTTTGGTAGCCCGACATAGTTCATTATTTTCAATCTTTTATGCTCCAAATGAATCACGGATTATTCAAAGTTATACAGAGAAAGAAAGCCATATACCACTGACGTCGTAATGTCTACGCGACTAAAGCGCAAGTTAGCGTGCAATACGTATGTTAGAAAGAGATAGAAGTACTACGTTGCCTAGCAACCCGAGTAAGGAGGCGACGGACGCAGCTGAGGCTTGCGGCGTTGCCGACGGCGCACGTCTAAAGCCGGTCCCAGACACTACATTCTTCGGCGAATAAAGAAGCTTCGTACTTTGGCAAAGCACATATTCCAAGTTCGCGATGACTTCCAACCACTTCGTATTTCGGGATATAACAAATATTCTGCAAAGCCTCGATTGTAGTTTTAAAATTGACATAGGCGCGGACGAGCAGGTCGCTGTTGCTGCTGCTTCCATAATTATGTGCTGTTCTTGGTTAAAAGAAAAAGAAGGTGGTGGATGCTATCTTTAAATAAAAGTCGTCAAGTTAAAATATTTGTTCTATTTGTTTGCTAGCTTCTTAAAAAAAAAGATTACTTTTAGTAACTATCTTCAAAGCCTAATTCTTAGTTTTACTTCCCGCGCCAATTGGCGGGAAAGTATTGTAATCGCGAAAAATTTCGAAATTGAGATATCATATTTTTTGATGTTTCATGACACGAAAAATCATATCATCTGTCTGTCTGTCGTCTGTCTGTCCGGTAATCCTTGGCCCTTCTATAACTCGGAAAGTACTACTCAAAAGTTGATAAAATTTCGACCGCAGTTTAGTAGGGAAGCTTTGTAGTTTTATGGTTTTAAACAATCGGAGTAGTTGCGGCTGTTATCGTCAAAAAACAAACAATTAAAAGCGCTCATACTCCGTTTTTGGATGTTTTCGGGGTTCCTGATCACTTTACAACAATTTTTTGTAATGGTAGAGAATCAGAGGTGGGATCAGGTTGGGAAAGGAGGTATCTCTTATTTTTTGTCCGTGACACCGCTGATCAAAGCGCGGGAAGTATAAAGTCAATCTACTTGACGCCATTTTTAAGGTAGGTTTTACTTTCAACTTTTCAAGGTACGAAGAGCTGCGAAGATAAACAGTGTATCAAAAATTTTCCAAAAATTCATTCACTAGGTCGTTGTTCCACTCCATTACTACTCACTCAAACACAAATTGATACTGCACTGATCAGACTAAATATAACGAAGGAGAAGCGAAGTTAGAGCGAAGCGTCTGGGAGCTGACGCCGAACTTCGCGTCGTTTGCTTCGGACTATTTTACCGACAATCAGCGGGAAGAACTACGTACTACCGCGAAGTGCGAAGGCGAGGCGAAGCAACTCTCCCACACGCTCCACGAAGTTAGGCGAATACGCAATGTTCGGCGAAGCTCGTAGTATCTGGGACCGCCTTAACGTTCGTATTACATGCTTCTGTCTCGTACATAGTACGTCAGATATAGTATGGTATAGGGATTTCTCTGTAGCATTTAAAATAACAAACAAGATAAACTTACCTATTATGTACGACAAGAACGGGTTATTCGGATTCAGCACCAACGGCCCACCGTCTTCTTCAGATTCTTCATGCATATCAGATAAAAACGGATTTGTGCTCTTACTACCAATAATACTATGCACTTCATCAACGCTCCGTCTGTTCTCTTCTACGCCAGATAATCTAACTAACCCCGAATCCGTGGATTTCGTTTTTCCGGAAACTTCTTGGTCCTCGAGACTTTTACTACTGCCTGTTAATTCTGGCCTATTCACTGTCGATTCAGAACTCTCTTCCTCAATCTCCTCTGATTCACAAACCAACGGTCCAGCACCATCCTCTTCTGCCTCACATTTTATAATATCTAACTCTCTCATGATATCCTCAGCAAGTGCCAGATTTTGCTGTACTTTTTCCGCAGTTTCTCTCTTCAAGTCCTCCAGCTCCTTGTACATTTTCGAAATATCTTCCGAACCCTCATCTTCTGCATCCTTACTATTCATTTCACTGTCTTTGATAAAGTCTGCTATCTCACTCTGAAGTTCTCCGAATACAGCCAAGTCCAAGTCTTTCGTTTCGCCACAACTCATATCGATATAAATGCTCTTTGCACCTCGTTTCAAGGTCTTTTCGTAACATTCTATCATTTCCATTATATTTTGTTTTTCATCCGTACGGTCGATGCTAAAATACTGCGGGTAACAGAAATGTATGGGGACGCCACAGTTAAACAAAATGTCCATTTCTTGCGTAGATGGCGCATATCCTTGTTCTAGTTCCAAAAATGTGGGAAATAGATGTATGTATTTCACTAATGGCTTAAACGCGCTATCTACACGTGATTGCTGGATGATCTGAAACAAGTTAAAAGAGAACGTTAGTGAATTTACACTCAGGCTCAAAAACATCTGAAATATACTTTCAGGATTCATTGCACTTATGTATTTGGGCAGTATAGTTATAACTACATTCGTTTGGATGAAAAACTGACATTTAATCTGGCTCTGAGCCTTTGACCTCTCTCCTGAAAATACTTACATAGCAAAGCACATGTTTGTAGTTGCTACATTAAAGAATTTAATATCACATATTCGATTTGGATGAATAATTTGAATGCTTTTAGTTCAAATTGAAAATTACTATACATACATGTACTTTAGTTCAATAAATTAAGCTATGCACATTTTTGGAGTTAGAAATAAGGTTTATAAATGTGATGCTGCATTATCTACTGTACTTTGCACAAAACTTCAAGCCATTGTATAACGATTTATAAGTATAACAAATAGATTAGGCACTAGCAAATAAAAATATCAAACTTAATAAACACAATAACTTCTGCTCTATTTCTCTTAATTGGCTAATAAATGAAACCATAGATGATGAAGAAATAACTACTGAAGTTTCATTTACCAAGTCAGTCTGGCAGTCAAAAATATAGAATGTAAGAAAACATTGAGGTTGAAAAATAAATACCAATAGCAGCAGAAACATCAATAAAATACTCAGTTCATCACGTGGTTCCATATATTGGCATAACGAAAGCAGACCAAACTTAATACTATCGTAAAAGTTGAAAAAAGCAGTATTTGGAACCCAATAATATACTCGAATTTCTTGATTTTGCAATATACGTATACATATGAAAAACATTAAAATGTTTCATAAACATAAAATAACACGCAAAAATATGAATTAAAGTTTATAATATACCGGACTAAATAGCAAATAAAATAAACAATGGGCAGTGGCTGCCTCTCTCACCCGTCACCCGCTCTTTCTTTGGCCAATAAATAAGACTTTTGTCTTAAACATCAATCTAATTTCAACCACTATAAATTTTATTCCTGCTGGTTGCTGAAACGTCAATAAAGTGATTCATTCCACATCTGTGGTTCCATCTAATGGCCGAATCGTTCCCTTTACTGATTCGATTGCTATGTTTCTTTCATAAAGCCCTTTAATTTTGATACCTATATCAAAGGAGTGATTATGGTAATTATATCACCATCTTGGGGCGGTCGCCATAGGGGTGACTATGAAAAATGTAAATCGCCAATTCGCAGCCACCGTCATATTGGATTTAGCACTCACTTTGCTAACTGTGCTTCTCTCATCAAGCCGCTTCACGTGTACCCATATGATAGGTGTTACTATGGAAGTGATGAATCGCCTTATTGGATTCAAAATGGCGGCAACTCAATCATTTTTTATTGTCACGCGAACCAGAAGTGTGCCCAAAATTTCAGCTCAATTGGTTAAAGTTAAATGATTCGGAATTCAGTTCCAAGATTTGTGCCACACATACATACTGACATACTAACATACAAACAGGTCAAGTTATATAAAAGCAAGTTGAGTTTTCAAGAAAAGCAAAGATTTTTCGAAAAGGAAAAGTGATAAGAACGAAAGTAATCACTCGTTACAGTCTTCCATAGTACTTCGACACCTCAAGGGCTCCATGTTGTTTTTCTTGTGAAGTATGTTGCAACAACAGTTCTAGGTGGTTTTTTGCAACACCTTGATATTTATGCTAAAATTCCAGAGACTTTGAAATTTTATATGTAAGCTGTAAACGTTTGCCACAACCGTGAAAGTGATCGTGATCGAACATTTTTACTAGAGCAAATTGATTTCAATGCCTTGATTTGACCTTGAAATGGCCTCGAAGGTTTACACCATGTCTGAGCTAAGCGTTTGTATAGCATACAACATACTGTGTAAATGGGTACAAACCAGCTTAAGCATATGAAACAATACGATATGTTAGTGAACATATGACACACTACTCTCCTTGTCACTCTGTCTCACTCAGTCTAGACTTTCGCTTTTCAGCCATCAGTCTAAGAAATGCTTTTCTTTTGCTCTCCTTAACTGGACGCGTGGTTTCGATTATTACCTGATCGGGGTATGTGGCTAGTCCAAGTTCTACCAATCTTGTGTTGATGCAAAATGGCTTCGATGGATCGGTGGCATCGATCAGGTACACTTCCAAAATTTGTTCCTGAAACAATAAAGTTTGTAGTCTGAAATCGGTGAAGAAGACTGATGAAGCTATTATTTCTCGCTATATGGTAGATATATACACTAGTGGGGGAGTGGACGGATCCAGCTTTTGAGTGATGGGAGGGAGGGACGCTCAGCCAATCAACGAATTTAGACTAGATAGAAGCCAGTCAAGGATTTGTTTGTCTCTTAATTCTCATATTCTGTAGTGAGAATCAAAATGCACTTGACATAAGTCACTTTTCACAGTTCTGTCATTAATTTCTAATATTTTCTGTTATTTTTTTTAAAAGTGCGAGTGTTTGCAGATAGTTGTGGTGTAAGACGATTTCAGGACATGGAACTTCTTACATAGTTTGCCAAGAGCAGCACAAGATCAATGAAGGTAGATTTCCACCAGTAGGTTATTTTTATGTTGATACAACGCTGTCACTTTGGCAGGCATTGCTAGATAAATGGGTCACTATCCACGGAAACTACGCTTGTCTCCGAATCTTTTCGAATTCGTTGGTCATGATGTATTTATTATACAGGGTGATTCACAAGTCGTGGCCAAAAATGAAACATCATACACAGGACCGCATTTTAAGGGGGGTCTCCTATATAACAATTTTTCCTCGAGGGCTTCATTAAAAAGATACAGGGTGTTGAAGTTTGAAAATATTTTTTTTAATATCTTCAAAACCGTTAACTGGAATGAACTAAAATTTGGTATGTGGATTTAACTAAGTACTGTCCACATTCAAAAGTCTTTACTTAAAATTAACGTGCCCCAGTCGCGGAGATACAGGTAATTAATGACATTATTCTTCCAAATACAAATAGTATTTTTTCAAAACGCGCAATTTTTCGAATTTTACTTTCAATTTACTACAAATAATTACTCTTGTGTTTTTTCCTAGAGTGCATTGTTTTCGTAAAAATAAAACAAATTAGATCATTCATGAGGGCCGAGATACAATAAGTTTCAAAATAAAATAGGAGGATTGTCCCACTAGTCTCGCAACTGCGCAAACTCAAAATAAGGAAGATCATGGTGAGGTAGCTAAACAAGAGCACTAAAATCTTGAATAAAACGACCATACACTCACCTTTCTGTTTATCCTAACCACTTTAGCATCGATACTTCGATCCCTGCACATGTTTCTGAAAGTTACAATGGCATCATGACTCCAAGGCGTGCTTTCTTCTGGCGGGCAAATGTCGGCCAAGCGACACCGGATGGCTTGCGCTGGCAGCTCAGCGAACTTCTCGTGTAAGAAACAGATGCCCTCGATTGGTACTTTGGTCATCGTACCGTAATCAATGAACAACACCTGATGATAAAAATGGGGTCAAGTAGACTCTATACTTTCCACGCAATCCACCAAAAAACTGCATTTGAGATATAGAGCCAACCTACTTGAAACATATTTCTAATAGACTCAATATAATTTCAATGTTTGTTTTTGTTTTTTATATAACAGCATTGATCAATATATTCTACCTGCAGATAGCCACTCATATACTGTATTCTGGCGCCCAAAAAAAGGCACCTGAAGGATCCTAGCGCCATGTATCAAACAGAAGCAAAACACAGAAATGAATTTAGAAACCTACTTTGAAAAGAGTTAATGTTTGGTTCTGCTAATGTTCTACAGATGGCGCTATTATGTTCAATCCCTTTTTGGCACCTCCCTAATGCTTACTTTAATTTGGTATTTTACCTGGAGATACCCAATAAAATAGGTATTAGAGAGGTGCCAAAAAGATATTGAAGATCCTAGCACTATCTATAGGACCAGAGCCATAGAACAAAGCACTTAGCATCAATGGATATTTCTAAATTCATACTTGTGTTCTGCTACTGTATCATAGATGGCGCTGTGATCGTTCAGATCATTTTCTGGGCACTGGTTGGTTATTTTCAAGTATACCCTAGTACCAAAATGGAAGAGAGTTGAGCGACATGCCTTTGAATAGGCAAAAACGGTGAGCGCGGATCCAAGCCTCATTCAAAGACACGCGATAACAGAGGCGTAAAATGTGTTGTTACTCTCTTCCATTTCGGTACCAGACTACAGAATTCCTTAATCAATGGTTACAGTAATAGCATGGCTTGGAATAGCTGCTGAAACGAAAGTCGGACAAGGTCCCTCTAAAAGCTAAGTATGCACATCTATAAAAAATGGGTCAAGTGTTTTCAAAAGGCTGAAATGAAATCGAAGTACAGCTACAAAGCGCAATTTATAAATCCCTCAAAAAAATCTGAAAATGAGCAGGTGTCTCTGAAACGTTGAAAAACGAAGTTTCGGCAGTTTTTGTTTTTCCATTTTTTGGTTGCAGCTTCACCGTCACTTGATCGGTTTTCAAAACCTACAACGCTTATTCCTCCTTGGCAAAGTAGTAACTTTGAGTCAAAATTTCTTCACACTCTTTGTTTCGCGAACATTCGTTGGATTCCCGCGTACAACTCTTACTTAAAACGCACTGGAAAGATGCTATGCAATAATTGTGACCAGTCATTAGAGGTAATTTCTACCAAAAACGAATCTCACTGTACTGGTAGATCATTTTGCAGAAATGGAAAAAAAGGGTTTATATCAAATGAAACAGTAATATAAAGTAGCTTTGCTAAAATGTTTTAAATTAATTTCATAAATACTTGCCTTTATACTATTTTTGACCTCGGGTAAAACATCAACAATGACTGCCCTATGATACTCTCCATAAATAACTTTTGCACAATAGACTCCTTCTCTTATCAAACCTTCAGGCATCAAGTATCGTGAGGCATTTGTTACATAGAAATTCCTAAAATCAAAACATTCTGCATCATGTCATTTTCGCCGCATCAGAACAAATACAGGTTAGGCTTATGTTATTTCTTCTGATGTGGCCTGAAAGATACTTGATATGATTTAGAGATAACTAAGCTACGATTTATCCGTATGCCAATATTTGCGTAAAATATACTGGAACCAAAAATACATACTGCAAATCATCCACGATGTTGTCCAAATTTCCCTCATCTAAATATACCCAAAACTTGGACAAATCAAATACTTCACCAACTCCAACCTTGATTGTATCTCCCTCCTTTGTTTCAGGTGGTACAAACTCTCTAGGTATTGCATTACCAAGTTTATATACACTTTCTGGAAGAAAGCTCTGCACATCGTCCCACTGAAAGTATGCAGTTAAATTTTAAACTCCAGTATTTAACTACACCCTAGATATTACGGAAAAAACTTGTGAATAACATCCGCAAAAAAACGACACTTCACTATTTTTTTTTCACCCAACTGCCTCAGGAACAGGGTAGATGGAAATCTGACTATCGCCACCTATCAATGGTTTCACCAAGCTAATTTTCATCATCATCCACGTACCATGAAGGTAACAGAGATACCCTTAGGGAGCATTCAAGTATTACGTAAGCACTAGTGTGGGCGGGGTTTTGCTTGACATTGCTTATTTTTGATGACATAGACATAGATGGTGATTATGTCAGTAATAATTATTTATGGTTTTGGTTTCTCTACAAAATTTAGTAATATTAACATTATTATGACCTATTTCATATACCTGAATTAAAATTGTGAAGGAAAAGAATATAAATATTAAAGACTACCTTTGGCTCCCGTACTAATACAAGGTTTGCCTTATCAAAATTCTCTGAAAATAAAAACACGCCTTTTTTTAAATATCACAGTAGAGAAAAGTATGGCAACATTTCAGTTTTGCCGTATTGATTCGTTCTGCGATACTCTCATATTGCGTGAGGTAAATATTTACATCAGTGAGAATGGCAAAGGTAAAAGAATTTTCAAAAGATTTAAGAGACAACGGAATTGAATTATTCAGGAGTGGTGTCAGAAATGTTGACATTTCTCAAAGCTTAAAAATGAACAAAGGGACGATTTCGGAAATTATTAGTAAATATCAAGAATAGGATCAATAGCAAAGCGGCCCAGGTGCGGAAGACCGAAAAAAATCGATTATGTTTTGTATCGCTACATTAAACGTTTGTTCCATGAAGATCCTCGAATGCCTGCCACACAGATTTTGAAAAGAATCGTAGAAGATGGTGCCGAGAATATTTCTGTCAGAACACTGCAAAAACGCTTGGTGGATTTTGGGCTTTTTCGTAGGCGTCCAGTGCATTTTAAAAAAATTGTATTGCTCGGCTTGAATTTGCTAAAACTCATCTAACTTGGACAGAGTTTTATAATAATACGAAAAAGATTCGACAAAAAGTATCAGTTGCCAACAGTTAAGCAAGGTGGAGGCAACAGCATGATATGGGGATGTTTTCCTACTTCTGGAACGGGTCCAATTGTTAAAATTGTTGGGAAAATGGATGAAAAAGTTCACAAAGATAGCACATGCTCCCTTTTCCTGAAGAAGAAATGCCTTTACGATGGGTATTCCAGCAAGATAGTGACCCCAAGCATACCTCAAAATTCGAAAATGACTGGTTAAGACTAAAAAATGTTAATGTTCTTACATGGCCTTCATAATCCCCGGACCTAAACTCTATAGAACATCTATGGGAGCATGTTTAAAGACAACTGACAAGAAAAACTTTTAAAAATATGAACGATTTATTTGAATACGTAAAAAATATTTGGCAAAATATCCCAACAGATGTCTGTAAAAAATTGGTGTCTTCTATGAGCACCAGATGTCAGGCAGTGTTGAATGCTAAAGGCTGCCATACGCTACCAAATATTAGCTAAACAGTATTTTTAAATCATTTTGTAGAGTTATTGTATTCAATTTTGTAACAAAAATGTTTCCATACTTTTGTCGTCTCAGTTTTGGTCATAAAATAATATGAAGGTATTTTAATGCTAGACTGTAGTACCACAGCAAACACAAATTGCCATTTGTATCCTCAGGACTGTAAGCAAACTATATGAGAAAAAAATAGTCGTTAATAATAAAGAATAAAAATAAAAATTACTAAGTATGTTTCCAAACTTTGTCCGCTACTGTATGTCAACCTTGCTCGTCTACGCTTGAAAGCATAATGCATCTTCAGGGATTCACCAAAGACGGACATGCTTACTCACTTAGAACCTTGACTATAAATACTCGTGGTAGAAATGCGTATAAATGAGTAAAGTGCATAATGGCTCCTTTTGGTCGGGATCAGGCTGGTTTGATGCCTCATGACATTAAATAGTATTCAGAATTGTAAAATGTACTAAAATGTTTATGTAAACATTGGAGGGGAGGTAAGACACTTGCTTACTGTGAGAGAAGTGGGTTAATAATTGCCAAAAGTCTGCTCATGTAGCGCAGAGATTTCGCGCAGCACCATCAGGGTCAATGTGTCAAGTGGTCGGAATACCAGATAAAAGATCCTGATGAGTTGCGAATAAGCACAAAACAGCACGATCTGCGGATGGTCATAGTTAAGGTAGTCGGAAAGCAAACGGAAAAATTCTATTTTACACACTGGCTATATTAAAATTTTATAAAAACAAAATGGTAGATTTTAGTCAAAAATAAACGCTGAAATGCCTATTACACGGGTTACAGCTATTAGGTGTTTCAGGATTTGTCTTGATATTGCGAGTGCCACCAGGTATACTGAAATTTCACAATTATCTACTTCAAATTGCCAGTTACATTCTAATGTAAATTACACATGTTTAAAGCCTTGCAGCTGGGATGAAAACTAAAAAAATGCCTGAACCTTGAAATTTTAACAAATCCTTAATAAACAACCTTCTAGATCCTATTATATTATGCTCCTTACCTCAATATTTGGCAAAGCACAGATTTCACCCTCATTTAGATTTTTACTTTCAACTGTATAACTGGCAACAGTGAATTTTGTCTCTGCACTTGGTGGCAAGGGTTTGCTGCTATCATACAATTTGAAATCAGAATCAGAAGGACGACAATAGTGGAATACTGAGGGTAACGATATGCAAAGTTGGCTCAAGCTTGTATAACCAAAATCTTCATAGTTTATATCCTTGGCAAACATTGACCTGAAAAAAAAAAATGGTACCAATATCAAAATAACTGAAGGTTTGTTCCAAGAAGCAGTTCCAAACTAGTTCAGAACCAATTCTGAATTATTTTTCTGCACATGCGCGGGGTAACTACAGTTCAGAACTAGTTCTGAACTATTCTGTTGGAACAGGCTTGTTGTCGCAAACATTACATTAATTGAAGTAATATTTAAAACTACCAATCTTCCTCCAAAAGATGAGTAGCTTGGTTAAACATTTTAAAGAAGTAGTACGAAGTTTTGGCGTTTTTGGGGCTGGAAGATTTCATTATTTTGTTTTTGGAAGAAGCATGGTCTGCTACAGTAGCAGAGAAAGAAATTAAGTGGAATATTAGCAACATTAAGCTATTAATTGTCTTGAAATAAAAGGAATATATAAGATTAATATTACTAATAACATGACTGAAACAAATTCATTAACATTTATTTATCAACACTTGACTATTTAATTTTCATTTTAGTTTCTTGGAATTCCTATAATCAATTCGAGATCTTTATTATTCATAAAACGTGAGTGCCACATATTCTGATAGTACTTGTAGACAAGCACTACATTTTTCTAGAAGTGATATTTAGAAACAAATCATTTTTTTAAATATATGAATAAGTGGCGTCTTTACCTATAGAGTTTGGGAAGATCAGCACACCATATCCCATTTTCATGTTGTCCTATCAAAAACTTTAGATTTTCTCTTATTGGCAGAGGGACATTGCTTAGAATATCGCGTACCTCGGCCGGTATTCTACCGAATAAAAGTTTTTTAGTTTTGCCACAGCCAGAATTTCTTTCATGATTTTCAGGTGTACTTGTATTCAGAACTGGTTTTTGGACTGGTTGCTGCTCAGGTCCCTGAACTGGTTCATCAACTGGTTTTTGGACTGGTTTTTCAGGATAGCTTTGATATGAGGCACCACTCTTGCGTGTTGGATAAAAAATCTTCTGACGTTGAGGTTGTGTACCAGGTTGTTTGTAAGGATTTGTGTTTACTGGTTTTTGATATAGGAGATGTTTTCTCTGTTGAATGGGGAAGGATTGCCTACAAAATGTTTCAGCATTAATAACATGACCTCCCAGATTAAAATAAAGCACACAACTGCATCAGTCAATCATTTCAAAAACCGCTTAGGTCAATTTTTAGCAACATACTTTTTCACTGAGAACATTTCAGTAAAGTAGGTGCTTTCTGCATGCACTACTACTCGACACTGGGTACTTGAATGGGTCATTTCAAAAACAGCGCCAGAATCCTTGATTTGTTTTATTTTCATATTATGTGTTATATGCACCAAAATACCAATTTAATATCACTAACTAAAAAATTAAGTTTATGGGTGAATACAGTAACCGCTTTTCCTTATCATCTTTTCACAAAATCACCTATTCAAGAGTTTTATTTATTCCTACCAATTCTCCTAGTTTGTATGACTGACAAAATCCTTTGATTATACTCTAAATGTTTTAAAAATCTGTCCATATATATAATATATGAGTGAACCTATCTTGCCGTTAATTTTGCTGTCTGTTAGTCAAGTAAGCATGTGGTTCCTCTACAAATGATTAGAGTTTCCCATGATGTCCGTGTTAACACACTAATTTTAAAAGTTCAGCGAAAAATAATTCTACTTTACTTCCCAGAGTATTAATTAATTTAGTTTTATGAACAAAAAATACTGTACTGTATTTTGAAGTTTCAACTGATGTCTTGAATTTCTAACGTTCAAAAGATTCATAAGCTTAAGTACTTTGAGCCAAACAGAAATGTACAGTGTCACATAAAGATATATACCTGTGTGCAGCCTCTTTCCTAGTTATCTTTTGATTTGTAACAAGTTCATTTATATGTTTGGACTTTTCAGAAACGACAGGGAGTACTGTTGCCATGGGTCCACTGCCTTTAACCTGAAAGAAATGTTATTCTTATATATCATACCAATATATGGTGCGACACCAATAAGCTTCTTTTGAAAGTGTAATAATGAATCATCAATACCATAAAATGGACTTGGGAGTTCTGTTTAAACTGGAAATGAACTTACTGCACAGGGACTACAAAGAAAGGATCAGCAGAGTGAATTTGAATGTAATAGTGTTTAAGTCCAAACACATAAGGTGATCACAGCACTGTAGTGTTTTATGTGGAGCTGCCAAGAAATTTCATCTAAGTTCAGGTTACTTTTACAGAAACAAATGACGTCAAGTAGGTTGATGCAATGCTCATGTTCATGAAGGATTACGTCCGAAAAAAATTATGACCATCTGAGGAAAAAGTTAGATATGAACATATAAAACAGAGCAAGTTAAACAGATCAAGTCAGTCAAATAGCCCTACTCATACTACCATCCATTTGGCAACATTGCCACTCACCATACCTCACTGCTCGATGAATAAATACACTTATCATCTTAGCAGCATGGCAGTGATGGAATGACACTCATAGAGGAGACTATAACGCTAGAGATGTGTATCAAAGATATTTCTGTAAAGTTTTAGGAGTAAATATATGGGAAAATCTATGATGTGTGAAATATGTCTAATAGGTGTGAAGAATTACCAGGACTGAAAGCATATAAATATAATACCGACAAAAAAATTGAGATATACCCTCCTACTCTCCAACAACCCTCAATACATTGTGAACCACTCCAATTTTTTTTTCTGAGCATAGCAGTAACATTGGTGGAAAATTCATCAAAAAGCAAGTAGTACATTCCAAGTTATAGATGGACCAAGGATTAGCAGACAGAAATGATATGATTTTTCATGATATACATATCATATAACATCCAAAAAAGGTGAATCTTGTTTTGATAAAACTTTTACGATACTTTCTCGCCACTGGCATTGAAAGTCAGAAACCTCAATGAAACCGTCAATTTATTGTTATTATGATAGGCTAGTGACCCTTTTTCACATAGCTTCTTATATATTCCTTTTATATATATGTTATATGCCCTTAGTAACTATGCAGTTATTAAGTAAGCTTACATTGTTGCACTAGACTCTGCGTTAGCATAAGATAAAAACTTCTCGCTAATCATTTGTTTGCCTCATGCCTCTATTTTCTATGGATCTATTGTTTGTCCATAGTCCATTGTGTATTCTGCTGATCCTTAGTCAGCAGCCTAAATTGTATAAATAGGTCTGTCAACATTTGAAGAGTGTTCATTAGATACCCGGTTAGACTCCGTTAACTTGTAATTTGTAACGGTCTGTAATTACAGTCCTCGAATAAAGTTTTTAAAAAGTATTTTTCAAAGTTATCAATTTAATATATATATATATATATCTGTACCTATCCTCTTGCAGGGTAGTAAGTTTCTTAATGCAGGGTACAGTAAAAAACACAAATAGATCATTGTTAGGTTACTTTATGTCTAGTATAATGAGTACAAGACATTCAGCTGAATCTTCATCAGCTTACATTGAATCATTAAAAACTGAAAAGTTTAAAAGCCACCATGCAGACACATAAGTGATGTTATCCAAATCAAGTTTAATCTTTTACACACTGCATTCTCAGATATACTTGCTCAGCAAAACCTATTTATGAGAAAATATGTATTTAGATCATGTTTTGGAAGTATTTTAATCATAAGCCACTTGAGACAAGAAGATTAGCAAAGATGGAGGGATATATCAAATAATTGTGAAAAGTATCACATTATTAAGTGCAACTGTTGCCATTGTTAACATTTAAAAAAAGGAAGCAAGTATTTGTGAAACAACTTTTTGATTCCAAATTTGCAAGGTGGTGCAATGAAACAACTAGCTAACAATCTCTGGAAACATCCAAATTAATGTTTGGTTCTGGATCATTCAAAATCATAGAAGCTGATATAAAATTGTTAATTTAGTCGTTCAAAACAAGAATCAATGAGACTTTTCATAAATCTATGCACTCCGTTTATTTCTAGATGGCAACAATGACAAGTCTTTTCATTTCTAAACAGCACACAGGTTCAATAGAAGAACGTTTTACTATTGTTCAGGCATACTTTTCGTCTTATTTGATTGTGAACACACAATAGTAAGCACTTACCTGTACTGTATCAGAGATGGATTTCAGGAAACTTTCCATCGAATTGTATCCTAATTTGTAGTATGGTATTTCCTCCCCGACCATATTTCTGTAGTCCTTACTCAGCTGATTTATCGTCATAGTGAATGTTGTCGAGGTGAGAACACTAATGATGTGTTTCTTCACGTTAGGCTCCATTTCGCACATTTATAATTCTCTTTTTCAGATATAACTACAGCTTTTTCCAAACCTTTAGTGCTGTTACACGCATGTGCGGCCTGACGTAGTACTAGGATCGTTTCTGGACTGTAAAAGGTGTTGGAATTAATTCGGAATCGTTTAGCGCATTAAAATTGACAGGATAGCCAATGTTGCCTGATCTAAAAATTTTTCGGCATAGCTATGAAGAGCTTTGGATTTTCTATTTAATTCGCTTATTTAGCGACAATGTTGTTTACACTTGACCTTCTCTTGAAGTATGATATGGCTTAAATAAAGTTAAATCGTAACATTATCTTATTAGACGGTAATTTGGAATTAAAATAAAAATTAAATATTTTGGGTGTAACGTTATCACAATTTGAGATTCCTTCCACCTGCAACAGCATTATTCGAAAATCATGTTCAAAATTTTCTATGCGAATAAACATGTACTAAGTGCTAACGTTAAAAGAGCTTTATGTGAATCATTGGTTTTTTTATCTGTAGTAAATTACTCTGAGATCTTATATTACAGATACCTGGACTGTGATAAAGATGCGTTTGCAATAAGTTCAAAATCTCTGATGTAGATTTGTTTATGGACTAAAAAATATTATCATATATCAGTAACGATGGAATAAAATTGATTGGCTGACTGTGGAAAGAAAACTGTACTCTACTTATAGAGATGATCTTAGCAGCAACTTGCAAGTCGCCGGGATACCGGTGACAGCGACCTTAAAGTCGCCGGTAGATTTAGCAGCGCTTTAGGTCACTGCTTATCTATGGTCGCTGCCAGCAGCCAGCGAGTCCCTGGCGCTGATTAAATTACTCGATATTTGGCGGCGGTTATCCATTGATATTAACGAGGTGTAGATGTTCAGGTTCCTGAAGATTTGAATTAAACTATATTTAAGGTTTTTGTTTTTAACAATATTGAGCACAAAACACATAAAATCATAAATATATATATATCTATTTTTTCTTGTTAGTACAATAAGTTTGAAATAAAAATGTTTGGTTTTTCTTGCTAATACAGTAAGTTTGAAATAAAAATGTTTGGTTAATTTACAATACCTGGAATTTTATTTAGGCGCCGCCAGGTTTTTTAGACTTACAAAATCAATCGCCGTGATCCAAATGGAGATTAACAATTCAATATAATGTCAGTCTAAACAGCCTGCCGAGGCCATGTATGATTCTGGTGCTGTTAGACATAAATGACTGACGCCGCCAAATAATGCCTAACAGTATGTCAGTCACAAACGAGTGACAGCACAAAATAAAACAAGAATAAAATAGTATGCCGGCAGTCAGAGTGTTAACTTTATCACTTACTGAAAAAAAAATCCAAATATCACTAATCTTTTGGCGCTTTGACATATTTATAAGGTGCTTGCAACTCACAACAATTACAATAAAAACTAACAAAATAGGTTAGGCTACGCTGTAGCGACCCTGTACTTCCCGCGCGATGATCGCGATGTGTATATGCTTCCTGGCAGCGACCGCGACCGAAACAGCGTTACAGCTACCGATCAGTGGTTACCGATACCGATACTTCCAAATCCAAACAGCGATCTGGGTCGCTGCTTCATGGAGAATCAGGTCGCCGGGATTAACGGCGACCATTCAAGTCACCGGGAAAGGTTGCCGGTACCGATATATCGATCATCTCTCCTCTACTATGCCTATCTTTCATTTGTATATGAATTAGTAACGACTTCTACCCTACCATATTCATTTTAAAAACTCACACTTTCTAAAGTTAAGGCAAAGAGCATATCTTGTCACCATTCATCCATTCAACACTATTTCAGAGAATATATCTTTTTCTTGAGGATACTGATTTTGATTCTGTGTATTACATTTTTCTGAATTCTTGTGTAATGTCATTTCAAATATACAAATAGCCTTCGGCTAAATTTCGCCCTTCATAAAGCCGGTATATTACTTTTATTATTGTATGAAGCCCCAAATACGGAGGTACATTCACTCCGACAAACCACGGAACTGGTATTTGTCGATCTGGCAGCAACAAGAAGATATTTGACCCTAGCAGCTGATGAGGCCAAAGAAAAGGGGAGAAGACCGACAATAGTTGTACACCCAAGAGGGGAAAGAACAGCCCGTGTACAACGGGTGGACAAAAAGAAGCCTGTCGAATGAGGATGCCAGAGTCAAACACGGACTCGAGGCTAACCTCAGGAGACGAAGACAAACAGCAAACTGACTGACTGACTGACTCCAGTCGACGAGGAAAGAGAAAAGGCTCACCAGCCTTAATGCGGGGCTTAGGTCAAGGCCCCAGCGCAGGACCCCAAGAAAGAGGCCGTCCATAAAAGTCGAGAACCGACAGTTGGATGAAACGTCCACCACGTGCTTCCGCGACGCGGACGCGATCGAGTCAGTTTCGGGAAAAAGGGGCAAAATTGGGGAGGGGGTAGCTGGCTCGGCAGCACACTCGGGGAATGCGCAGCGGCCTGAACCACGCAGCGCCACTCCAGGCCTTCGGCGGGAGGGGAGGTAGGAAGGAGCCAATTGCTCTTCCCCCCACTCCTCAAGGGTTTGAGGTTGCCTGGAACAGGGGTGGTGGAGGGACCGCACAGGGTAGGAGGGTGTGTGTGTGTGTCGATCTGGCAACATTGCTGGAAACTGTCAGATCATCTAACTCTAACCTAACCGCCATTTGGCGTTTGTTTTGGTTTATAGCTGCAAAGCAAAAACTGAAAAATGAATACAAATAATAATTATTCTGTAAGTTTTTTTGCTTCAGATCACTTTGCTGTACATACTTATACGCCATAGATTCATGACCACAAATGGTGAGACAGTGAGAGCAAAATGATGCTGGAGTTGTACAAAGTTTGTGGCGAAAAGGTTGGATGTTTAGAGATAAAAAACCTGAAAATTTTATGGGAAAGGATTGCAGACGAACTGAGGAAGAACAAGGTTAATGTAACGCCGAAAAATTGTCTAAATCGTTTGACAGTATTACAACGGAACTACAAGAAATTTATTGATAACCAGAATCAAACAGGTAAACAGAATACTGGACTTGAGTATCACATTAAAGCTACGAAATAAGGTTCAAGAATTGCTTGTTTAGCATTTGTTCAGTTATATAATAAATTTTTGGCACAGATCAGCTATTGTGACCACCTTTGCCTGTGTCAAAGTACAATCTTGTACTTAGAAAAAGGCTGAAAGTACACTCATTTCTTGATCTTACTATGGCAGCAAATGTTGCATCAAGTGCTTTTCTAGCTTACACTTTGAAACCTTTTTTCCGAGGTGAGTGAGAAAGCAACAACCTCTCTAGCTAGCATTCATCACCTCAATAGTTACAATTCAACAGTATAGCATTCTTAGTTTTCGTTATTTTTTAGGCAGAGGGCGTATACATTTTGCGTATGCACAAGAAATGGACGAGATATTTGACAAAAAGAAAAACATCCATCCAGAGCTACTTCTATCTACAGATGCAATTAATGAAGCACCTTTGGACATGGAGCCACCAGAAGTTACCATATCTGAAGGGAGCGAATGTAAAATAGGTAAAGAAAACAAGAACACTAAGAAATTAATAATGAAAAAAAAGCATACAGCATTAGAAAAGCTGCGATTAGATAGAAAGGAGTACTATATAGAAAAACTAGGAGTGGAAAAAGAAATCCTTTCAGAAATAAAAAAGAGGAATGCATTGCTAGCAGAGAGGAATGCTCTGTTGCATGAACAAAATTGTATTCTAAAAGAAAAACAATGCCATCATAATACTTAAGTGTAGTGTCCAAAAAATTATACATAGATTCATTTTTTTCATATTATGTTTGTTATTGTTTCCTATTATTTTATTTATCTTTCCAAAGTATTACAATATATCTCATAAAGCTTGTAAATACTACCTATTAGTGATAACACAATGTATTATTTTTCACACTAAACTATGATTTTATTTTGTTTATTAATTTGTTTAAATAATGTATGTTTTGTTTAGTAAAATAAAAGGTTCGTTATACAGTTCATTCTTCAATTAAAGGATGATGTTCTTGTTTAAATAATACACATGTCATCAATTTGAACAAGTGCCAGGCTCATTGGCAAAATCCTCATGTTAACCATAAGCTTGAAAATGCTGTCCTTCATTGGTGTTCAAGTCATCACTGAAAACAAAGTTGTCTTCTAGGGCTATATTATGGAGAAGACATGCAGCTCGAATCATAGGCACCTTAGTTCTGATTTTTAGATGATACAGCCGCCTAAATTTCTGTTTAAGCATCCCAAAACAGTTGCTCAATCACATATTGGTTTTTTGAAACTTTGACATTGTAATTTATTTGTCTGGCAGTTAAATTTCCTCTATCTTTATAGGGTGTCAATAAATTGGTTTCTAAGGGATAGCCACTATCCCCTAATATAAAGTATCCTCCACATTTTGCTTGTAAAGTGTTCTTTAGAGGGGAATTCCGATACACTCTACTGTCATGCACCAAGCCTGGGTATCCAATGAACACATCCAATATTTTATATGTATGGTCACAAACTGCTTGCATCTGAAACGTTTAATTTTGCATAATGCAATGATTGTATTATCCCCACCATGGATGATGTATATACCTGCACTGAATAATAACCTTTGCGATTGATGTAGGAATCAGGGTCATTCTGGGGCTTATCAATTTTAATGTGAGTACCATCAATGGCACGGATGACATTTGGAAACCCATTCATGTTGAAATGGTTTTCGATAATCCCTTTCTCATCTTCTGTTGGCCACTTTATGGTGTGTGGGGATAGGTCGCTGAGAAAGGATGTCAATCTCATTATAATTCTACCGAGAGAACTGAGACTGATATTAAAGCGGTCAGCAACATCTCTAAAACTCGAAGTTTGGTGTCCAATGTATCACAAATAAATTAAAACCTAAAAAGAATATTCTGCATAAAGTACAAACTAAAGACCACACAATTATTACTATAGTACTATTGCCAAGTGCATTGAATTGTTTTCTAATTTCTTAAAATAAAATTATGTCTTACTTGATGATTGGCACTGATATTTCCATATTGTCCAGCCTGATCATGACAGTTAGAGCTTCCTTCAAACTTCTCACCGAGGCTATTGACTGTTGCTCTTGAAAGCCTGAAGTGTTCCATTAATACTACGTCGGAATATTGTGGTATTGTTTCCTCAGAAACATAAAAAAATGCTTGATTTTGCTGTTTGCTTGACAATCCAGTATAACTAACAAACTACATAATATGTATCTAACATATAGAGATAGATAATTTTCATTTTTAAACCGAGGGTCCTCCAGGTCATCTTCAATATCCGAAAACAATACAAAATCGATGTCCCCTTCGTCGTCAGTACCCATCGCGATGAAAAATGTTGAACACTATCTTTTGTAAACACAATACACACGTTCAATCAGTGTTGCCAGGTAGATCAGACCAAAAATCGCTACCAGCTATCAGAAAAGTCGCTACTTTGTCGCTACAAAGGAATATTTACTTATTTAATTGAGGTGCACTAAAGCGGCCCATAAAACCAAATAAAACTGTATTTAAAGTTTCAAAAAAACATAACGAAGTATATAAGTTATAAATAAAAAAAAACTAAGCTAACCTATTCACTATCACTATCACTTAAATGAGAATCTTCTTCGAGAGTTGTGCCTGTATTTTGATAAACATTGTTCATTTTTGAAAAATGATTATCATTTATTTTATATGTTAAACAGCAACTCTTATCTTGTTTTAAATCCAATTTTACCATTAAAATACAACAAAAAAGGTCAACACTTAATTTATTTCTTTTTTTGGTTTTTATATCTGCCATATGTGAAAACGTCCTTTCGACATCAGCATTTCCATGCGGAATTATCAAAATACTGGTAACAATTTTCCCAATATTTGCAAAAACATATTGGTCGTTAAAATTTTTTAATTCTTTCAGTTCACCCGAAAAAGCTACTGCTGATTTTTTTAAGCTGTTCTTTTTCTTCGAAAGAAAAATAATTTTGTATTTTAGTTAGTTCTGAAAACGCCAAATTACTATCAGCAACATGTTTAAAATTTTTTAAAACAACTTTGAATTTTCCATGAATTTAAAATTCAAAACGTTATTGGGTTCTATAAAATCAAGATGTTCCATCCACATATCTTTAACAGGAAATCTTTTAATTAGTAAAAACTCAAGCATTTTAACTTAAATTGTTGAACGTCACCTTTATCTAAAATTTTGAATATATTATATGTCTCCAGGCTAAGCCCAAGCTGAATTTCTTCTAATGGTAGTAAACAATAGGGATGGAAAAAATTTAATGTAAATAGGGATTCATCAACAAGAAGTTCCGCTTTAACAAAATTTCCACACAGTTGTCTGATAAACCTCTTACTTTCTTTGGTAATAATGGGGAATAAAGCTTTGTCAGACTGGAAAAGACAGTTGAATGCATTAAGTAGTGGTAAAATATAATTAAGAAATTCCAAGCATGCTTTTACAAAAGTGTTTAAAAATTCATTATAAATTCCACTTCCAGTCGGACTTTATCTTTGATTAGTGCAACTTTAAATAATTCTGTTTGACGAGACCAAGAGGTTTCTGGGAAGTACCAGAGCACAGCTAATACGATTACGTGGTAATCCCAGCTGAGCCGATAAAGCAGACATGACAACCGGCATACCTGCAATCAGTAGCGCCTCGTCCTTAAACATAATTTGAATATAAATAAATGTATGTATTTATTACGATAATTTCAATTAACATCTAAGTCGTTAAATAATTAAAAATAAATTGTACTAATCTAAGTCGAAAAAGTCGCTACAAACAGGTTTGTTTTTGAAAATCGCCGCTACGTCTCAAAGTAGTAAAAAAGTCGGTATTTTCGCGACAAGTCGCTACGAATGGCAACATTGCGTTCAATCACTATCCAAGCCACAGAACACATAAGACTGAAGAAGTGGGAGCTGCACATCGACTTTGAAACAAGGATAGACCCAGCAAGTCATTCATAAAACTACATTAGATTCGTTGACGACATAAACAAAGCACAAAGTGGCGGCGAGGGGCTATGAGGGAATGAGAGGGGAACAATAAAATGGCCGCCGCATGAGAATTCAGGTTGTGAAACCTCACGTCACTGAAGACTCTATGTATAATCATTGGTACAATTACACATAGGCGTAGCATACAATACGTATAAGGGTGACAAAATAAGCGTATTTAAATCAAGAGCATCACAAAAAAAAACGGTACGAAGTTGTGTACTAACAAATATATTACTCATATTTGTGCAATATCTAGTTCAATTGGAATACTTACGTGAACTCCATATGGATGTAGGACTTCAGAAATGTTCAATTTCATAGAAATTTCAATATACTACAAAATAACATGATAGAGAATATAAATTAAACTTACCTTTTTTTAGCAGGAGTCCCCTCACAAGTGATTGAAATGGCAGATATAGTACTACAATCTGAGTCTTCTTGCTTCTCTGGACTTACAAATGATTCTGAACTAGAATAAAGCATATATATACAAAACCAAATTAGGGACTTCTACATAGTGAGATACTAATGCATAGAAATACTTCATGAAATTAAACACTAAATAATAGTATGAGTTATAAAAATCAATGCACATATATAAAAAATACACAAAAAATCAAAAGGAACTATAGTTTTAATCAAAGTATGAGCAACTCAGTTTAATGCATTGTGATTTGAACAAACCAAATCAATCAAATGTACTGTCACTGTTTTCATAGCAATGTAATGTAAGATATAAGCATCATCTTCATTTCAGCTCATAAGATGCAGATACTATGTTAGCTCTTCTTGATTGCTGATAGATTATAGAGTATGTCTTATATCTGTCTATTATCTGTGAAATTGCCAAAATATAACACTAATTATAGCTAAATTTACCTAAATCCATAACAGTTAAGGAAATACCTAGATCAGAAACATCTTATATGAAAAGTTAAACAGCAGATAGAATCAGAATCAAAATGAGTGGTTGTTAAATATTATTAAATACAACTATTCTTTTTTGTTTACTGTATTAGAAAAACTAGTCTATTATGTATTAAGAGTTTACCTGGTGCTTACTGCAGGATCAAACAAAGAATGAGAGATGAGAGGAATCGCATCCCGCTTGAGTGTCTTTTGTCCCTCACTTCCATAAACAAACGCATTTTCTCCAAAACGCTTGGAACATAGCTCCACCCTCTTAGGAAATTGATGGTTTTCCTCGAATCCACGGGCCGACAACCACCTTTTTCTCCTTTCCGGGTTCTTGGGAAGGCTAGAATTTCGAATATTACAGTTATAAATCGAAAGCTATCAACAAGTTTCTCGATAATAAGACGCCATGATACGCCTCTGAACATAAACAAGATGTATACTTACGAATGAAATTTTAAAGATTCCGCTCCAGCCTGATGTTTATAAATTTTACACAAATAGCACTGCTGCACCTTTTTGTTGCGATTGAATATACCTTTATAGTCTGTCTAAAATGAATAAAAGCAGCAAGGAAATTCACTATCAAAACAAACTTTGACAATTGACACAAAATGGCAGTTGTTTAGTAACTTAAATAAGTGCTACCAATATACTATTTTCTTACGATGTGGATAAATTATGAATGAGCAGATAAAAGCAACGTTGCCAGATCTTCAAGTCGATTATGGTATAATTTATGTAAGGTTCTTACTTGTTTGACTATTTTGATATCAATCCATTGTACGAGAATCATGATGTTTAGTACCCACACATGCGCTGAAAAATCAAGATAAACAGGGAATAATTTTAGTTACTGGAGGTTTGAAAATGTGTAGAACGACCACGAACAAATCCGTTGTTTTGCTGCCGTTTCTTGCGGCGAGGCAACGTGTCGATTCGCTTTGTATATGTCGTCAACAACCAGAAATGTAAGCAAAGGGGTCTATCCTCGTTTTAAAGTCGATGGAGCTGCACGTTAAACAACGGCAACACCGTTGACGTTTTGTCAGATGGTTGCGCCGCCTACTTGCCTGGAGATCTGGAGGAACTACTGAAGGAATTCAAAGAATGCGCCGGGATATTAGGAATGTGCCGAGGTTTTAGTCTGTTTACAATTTAAAATCTGCTGAAAGTGATATTTCCCATATTGAAGAAATTTTTTATGAGCATAGACGCATAAAATATCTTCAATAAAGGAAATACCTGATTCAGGCAGTTTTGCTGGTAACCAATTTTGGGATAATAAAAAATAAATGCGTAATTAATAAAATATTTTAAATAGTTAAATATATGAATAATAATAAGTAGTAATTTATCATCACAGTACATTGACAATATATAAAGGTATTTTTAGACATCCGGAGCTTTATCTATATTATTAAGTGAATAAGTGATGTTTCACAAAAAAATACAAATCATACATTAGTAGCATAAAAAACGATAATAAGGGACCCTCAGTAATCAAAGGAAGTATTTAGCAAGCACTACCTATTGTTAATCCATCATAAGGTATATTTATCACTGAAACGTAAACATTCATACTAAAACAACAACAAATAAATCTCTGTAGTTTAATAAATAACTGAAATAAAAATATAATCTGAGAAAAAACATTATTTTTTATAGTGTAAAAATGAGGAAAATTTTCTTCAAAGAAGGAATCAAAGTTAAAAATAAACAAGACATTCCTCATACTTAAAACCAAAAGCTGCTGATGGCTTTAACATTACAGGGAGTAACAAAATAAATAATTATTCTTCGTCCAACTGCTCCCTCCCAAGGATGCTGCAACTATGAAACAAAAAAAAATATTGTTTAGGTATAATATCACAGTAGTATTCGGTTACTGAAAGTAAATAGAATATTCAATGAATGAAGCTGGACTACATAAAAAAGCATTACCTGACTTTAGCTGTCTTGAATTTCTTATTTGTTGATATATGACTATTGGTAGTCTCACCATTCCTTTTCAAAGAATGTCTCTTTACATATTTGTAAATTCCCAACCGAGCAGTATTTTCAATTATACCTTTTGCCACATCATGCTGCTGACAAAAGCTATAATTTTGAAGGATGCAGGAATACTTGTTTAAATTTAACTTCCAGTTGGTCTTCTGTACCATACTGCTCTAAAATTGCATACATCTTTTCATCCAGAAGACCAATGAGGTTAATTAAATCTTCACTTGCATACTTCAATCGCTTTTCCTCATCATGCTCTTTAAACGTCACAAATAGATGCTTTTCAGTGACAACCAAAGAAAATAATCTTGCACAGGATTCACAATTACTATCAATTTTGAGTCTGCCCAAAATGTACCCAGCCACATAACCATTTGAAGGATTCCATTCAACAGCACCGTCCATTATTTCCATGTCAGAATCACTTAGAATCTCAGGGTCTAAATCAAGGACTGTATCATTACTTTGATCAGATTTATCCAAAAAGTCACTGAAATCGACCAAAGTATCAAAAATGGATTTCACAATTACCGTTAGAAAAAGGTGTGCTGCAATTATTAATAACTTCTGTTTTTAAGGCAGCAACAGCTGATGACTGGTGGGATTTGTATTGAAGATTGTTGGGGTATTTTCCAACTAGTCTTCAAAGAACACCCTATTTTTGTATGGTACCGTTTATTTTTTCGTAAGTGGACTGTATCTACATTGTAATGATATGGTTACAAAATATGTGTGTCTTGCTCGACGGTCCGCGGAGAAGCCCTTTGGCGGCGGCGTTGCTTCTCGGCAGTCGTGACGTCAGCGTGACGACCAGTGGCGGAGGCGAGGGTTTCAAAAATGCTTGTACAATGCCCCCGGCCTTGAAAATCAATTTTCAACATCTTGAACTGGAAGCAAGCAAAGCCGGTTCAATGCACGGTTGATAACTCCCATAGAAGTCTTTAAGACTGCAACTCGAGCAACACCATCGAAGCGTGGAATTAGACGGAGTACTCGGGCCAAGCGCCATCGTAGCGGAGGTTGATTGGTATCCTTAATCAACACCATTTGGCCAATCTGAAGACTGGAACTGGTCTTCTTCCATTTCTGTCGCTGCTGGAGTTCGCTGATATACTCTTTGCTCCACCTTTCCCAGAAATGTTGCTTCATCTTGCAAATCCGCTGATAAGAAGACAGACGGTTCTGTGGTAACTGTGTGAGATCCTCTTCTGGGGCGTCTTGCATGGAGCGGCCGATGAGGAAATGGGCAGGAGTCAATGGGTTTAGGTCATAAGGATCAGAGGACAATGGGGATATAGGCCGACTGAAGAACGCACTCGATTTGTGTTAATAACGTTGAAAAGTATCCGTATACGAACGAATGATAACCCGCGACTCTTTTTAGGTGATATTTGACGCTTTTAACGATAGCTTCCCATAAACCGCCGAAATTGGGACTATTAACCGGGGTGAAGTGCCACTTTATACCGATTTGCGCCGAAGATCCAATTATTTCGGACGAATGTGAGTTCAAAAACCTCCTGAGATCGTTGGATGCTCCAACAAAATTGGATCCATTATCGGAAAAAATGTCTGAAGGCTTGCCTCGGCGGGAGATGAATCGTTTTAGTGCCTTCAAAAAATCTCCAGTACTCAAGGATGTGACTAGTTCGAGGTGAATTACTTTAGTTAGAAAACATACGAAAAGTGCTATCCAACACTTTGAAGTCCTAGCTCCACGACCACGTTTGTTTTTTAACAGTAATGGTCCTGCGTAATCAACGCCCATGCTCGTAAAAGGCAAGGCTAATGTCACGCGATTGGATGGTAAGTCACCCATAATCGGTTGAACGGAATTTTGTGTAAATCTGGCACATGTAACGCAATTCCGAATCGTGTATCGAGCGAGATTTCTACCGCGCAATATCCAACATTTTTCGTAGGTGCTACAGAGTAATGACTGAGGATCTGCGTGTAGATAGTTGATATGTTCGTGACGGAAAATGAGTTTATTTAGGTGATGATGAGAATCGAGGTTAATCGGATGCTTCTTATCATAGGAAAAGTCCTAGTTTCTAAATACCTTTTTCATCCAGAAATGGGTTGAGTGACAGAAGTCGACTCTTCGCTTCAAGGCTACAGGCTTTCTGGAGCCGTGAGTAATCAGAAGGAACCGATTGAATTTGAGATATTCGAAGTAAGGCTTCGAGGCCATTCTTTAACTCCTCCAGCGTAAGCTGTGAGGTTGTATAAGTCAAACTGTCGTCAACACTAGACCAGCATAGTCCGAGAATCTTGCAGGTGATTTCCTTTCCGGGGGAAAACTCAAGCACAGCATTAGGTGAATGATTAGAGGACTTCGGGAGAGTTCGACCTCCATTTTAGAAGTTCAAATGGTACACCTTGAACACCTCTATGAGCTTGATGCTGAGCTCCTGAGTAAATCGTTCGTGTACATGTCGTGTTTGATTATGTGTGATATTCTGGGTTCCTTCTTTTCAACTTCTTCTGCAAGTTGATAAAGACATCGCGTCGCGAGGAATGAGGCTGCGGTCGTACCGTATGTTACCGTATTCAGTTCATACGTGTCAATTGGTTCTTCCGAGTTTGAACGCCAAACTATCCGATGGAACTTCCGTTGTTCCGGAGATATCAGAACTTGTCGGTACATCATCTTGATGTCTGCCGAAATGATGTATTTGTGAAGTCGGAATCTTAACATGATAGCGATTAAGTCATCTTGGATAGTAGGTCCAGTCATTTGTAAATCGTTGAACGACATACCTGTGCTTGTTGTGGCCGATGCATTGAATATTACACGTAGTTTGGTTGATACGCTATTTTCTCGTAAGACGCCGTGATGAGGCATGTACTATCCCTCATTTTCGTCCGCAGGTTCTACCTTATACATGTGACCTAAAGCTAAGTATTCGTCGAGAAACTGTTTGTATAGATTGCGAAGATTGTCATTATTTTTCAATCTACGCTCGAGTTGATTGAATCGCTTTATCGCTAAGCTGCGAGATTCGCCGAGCAGGCTTGTGTCACTCTTCACAACACTATGTATCTGCCGCTTTCAGAAAACTGCAAATGTTCCGAAAAATGTCTTTCGCACAGTTCTTGCTCTTCCGATAGGAATCTTTTTGGGGCGATTTCTTCGACTTCCCAAAATTTTGTTAGTTGCGAGTGTTTACGTAAATCTAAATCGTTGTCGAACCCGAGGAAATGACATTTCACTTCGTTCTTGGGCAGAACAAATTTACCACCGAGAATCCAACCAAGTCGTGTTTTTTGTTATATAGAATTGTTTTCCGAGATCGATTTGTCATACATAGAGTAGGTGCCAGAATATGTCTGCGCCTAGCAAAATGTCAACTTTGTTAGGTATATTGAACGTTGGATCAGCAAGTTTAATGTTTGCTGGAATGTTCATTCCGCGCTTGCAAATGAATGATCCGGGTAAATGACCTGTAATCTTATCCAAAACGAAGACCTGCAAATTGAATGAGAAGTCGCTTGTGGTTGAGAAGAGCTTCAAGTGACATTTGTGCCTTATAGGAGAGGGGCTACCGCCAATGCCAGAAACCGATACGCTAACCGAGGATTTGGGTACTTTGAGAGTCTCACAAAGTTCTTCTGTAATAAAGCTGCTTGGACTAACACAATCGATTAGAGCACGTATTGTGTGACGTTGACCTTGAGTGTCATAGACATACAGTAATGCGGTCGATAGCATTGCTTGCCGAGTCCACTTTTGAGGTTAACGCGCAAGTTTTCTTTTCTTCATGGAGTGAGGTATTGTGCAAACCTTGATATAATCTGCAACAACGGCTACGACAATCCTTTGCCTCATGTGCTCGACGTAGGCAGTTTATGCATAGTCTTAACCACAGAACGTGAGCCATGCGATTCTCGATGGTTAATTTTAGGTGATCCGGGCAATAATATATCGAATGATTTCCCTTGCAACCGAAACATGAGAATTTTGTCGAGTCCGATCCTGTGTCCGCGTTGGTTGCGTGAAATCCGCGTACTCTATAGTTTGACCTACCTGTTTTGTCATTGGTCCTTTGTCTGCTGAGCATTGACCGAGAATCTACCCGAGGATCTGTAGATTTTGTATACCCGACGTGTTTAGCTCCAAACTTTCAAGAAGTTGCGACCGGTTATTCAAAAACATCTTGAATGTTTCCATGTTGGGTACTTGTTGGAAGTTACTTTTCTCCCACTCACGTGCCTTATCGAGTTTATTCGACATTATGTAAATGATAAGCGTGTCCCAACCATCTACATTTTCACCGAGTTGCTTTAAAAGACTCAAATGCTTGGTCATGTTGTCGCTCATATTTCTTATCGCGTGTCACGATTCTTTGTCAATGTAATCAAGATCGAATAGTGTTTTCACATGATTTTGAACAAGTGCACTTTTGTTATCGTATCTCTCGCAAAGAATCTGCCATGCGATGTTATAATTGTTAGCCGAAAACTCTAGGTATTCGATTACCTGTGCAGCTTGCCCTTCAAGAGCCGCACGTAAGTAGTGAAATTTTTGAATATCATTCATCATTTCTTTGTCGTGGATCAAAGACTTAAAGGTGTCGCGAAATTCCAACCATTTTTTGAGATCGCCGTTAAACTTGGGCAGTTGAATGGTAGGAAGTTTAACCGATTCGTTATCATGAACGCTAGTTTCTAGTTTCCGTGATCTGTTAGATCTGATTGATTTAACTGATTCATCTCTCGTGGATTCAGCCGTGTGTGCACTCATTTGATGCAGATAGAAGTGAGTTTCTAAGTCCGCATCCTATACTAGGCACTCGATGTCAGACTGTATTGATTTAAATTCTGCTTCGAGATCCGCTAATTTACTTGTTTTGTTCGAAAGTAGAATAATTTGCCTATCGTTTAAGTTTTCTATACGTTCCGCTGATATTTCTTGTAGGAATCTTTCAAATGCCGTGAGTCGTGCTTTCATGGATCCTCTTTTTCGATTGAGAGTTTGAAGTTCCGACAGTTGAGCCATGTATGAAATTCTAATTATTCGCCGTGGAAACCGCTTGGTTACTTGAATGTAAAAACTGTGAACTTACTACGCCGAGTGTGAATGAGCCGAATTTAATGTATTTTCTAGTGTTTGCAACTGAACCGAGTCTGACCGCGAACTTGTCTCCACCAAGTACAAGTTAAATCTACAGAGTATGACTTTAATAGCACCGAGAATAAACCGAAAGCACCGAGAATAAGCCTAGATTTATTGTGCGCACCATGTAGCGCGTATATTTGAATGTGTACAAACAGACAGATCCCGCTCTACCTGCTGAAACCTGAACGCGTAAATAAATCGTGTAAATCACCGCCAAATAAAATCACAATATTCGACAGTGGCCTATAAGTGGGAAAGAGATAAATGGATGGGTCTGACCACTGACCTGCATTTCTCGCTCCGTCCTTGTCTGGCCTGTGTCCTGTGTGTCGTCTGCCGCCCGTCTGTTGCTGGGAATATGGCTGCTGCACTAATTTCTTCACTTTACTTTGGCAATGTGGCTCGATGGACCAGACGATGTGGGTATTTTCCAACTAGTCTTCTAAGAAGACCCCACTTTTGTATGGTACCGTTTATTTTTTCGTAAGTGGACTATATCTACATTGTAATGATACGGTTACAAAATATGTGTGTGTCTTGCTCGACGGTCCGCGGAGAAGTCCTTTGGCGACGGCGTCGCTTCTCGGCAGTCGTGACGACCAGTGGCGGAGGCGAGGGTTTCAAAAATGCTTGTACAAAGATACCATGCTATCTTACTTGACCAAATAAATTTTCCAGGGAATCTTGATTCAAATTTCAAACACAAGATATTTCAAGCCCTTCTCCTTAAGATCCCTTCATAGTGACATAACAGATCTAATTCTTATTTGCCAGCCTTCAACAAATTTGTAATCATTCGATTTGTCAACCCCAGCGACAATGAAAATTGATTTTAATTTGGATACCTTGAGCAAACATTCCGGTGGACTTTAGACATAATTGATTCCTTAGGGCTCAATTCCTTCTTTGATGTACCAGATTTTGTTAATATGCCAGAGCCCTTCTCTAACAAAAAAGAATATTTATTTAAATAATTAGATTCTGTTCTAGAACCACTTCCACTGATTTCAATGTTTTGATCTTCCAGAATAACACTGGAATTTTCATTTTGCTCAGAAGGGGTTGGATTTGTGCTAGCCTCTCCACGAGGGTCATTGAATAAAACTCTAGATACTGAACTGAGACCTGGTTTGAATGAATGAATGAATCTTGAATTTTAGAGGCATCCCGGCCACCATAAGGAGCCAGTGCATAGGCCGCTTAAGCGGGCCCTTATGCACCTCTACAATACTTAAATCACAAGCCTCGCCCTTTTAGCGAAGTTGAGAATCGCCTTGAGTCCAAGCTCCTTTACGTCCTGAGGGTCCAAAGTAATGGACCCCAGTATAGTCTGCCTATAGTAGCTCAGAGCTTCACAGCGACACAAAACGTGCGCCGAGGTCTCTTCCTCTACTCCGCAGCGTTCGCATAAGGGATCCTCAGCCACCCCCATCACGTGCAGGTGCCGCCTTAACGTGTTATGGCCAGACAACAGTCCCACCAGCAACCTTAGGTTGGCTCTACCCAGAGATAGGCAGAAGCGTCCATCCTTAGCACTGGGCCCTTCAATGAGCTCTCGTGCCTGGCGGAGATGTCTAGAGATACTTCTCCATTTCTGAGAGTGTTGTCTTGCAACCCACGTCTCCATTTTCCTCCTAGCTTTATGCGCGGTTACTCCTAGAGCTGGCTCAGGACCAACGAGCTTGCTGGCTGATCCTGTTTTCGCCAGAGTGTCCGCCGTCTCATTACCCCTTATCCCAGCGTGCCCCGGTACCCATATTAACGATACCGGATGCCTCGCTGCGAGGCAATCCAGAGCCTCCCTGCATTGCAATACAAGACTCGAAGTAATCTTACATGCACTTAGTGCTTTCATTGCAGCCTGGCTGTCGGATAAGATTGTTATTCTTCTCCTAGGCCCACCCTCCTCCAGAATGTGAGATACACAAGCCAGAATCGCAAAGATTTCCGCCTGGAAAATGGTGGTGTACTCACCGAGAGGCAGAGATAGCCTAGTTCTAGGTCCAGAGACCCCAGCACCTGAGCCCTCTTCGGTGACCGAGCCGTCCGTGTACCAGACCTGCCCGCTCACTTCGGAGAGTCCTCGGCTACCGGCGTCCCACTCCTCCCTCGTTGGGTACTCCACAATGAACTTGCGGTTGAAGCGATATTTAGGGGTAATACGATCACCCCTGCTTAGAAGGACGGGGTCCTCCCTATCTAATTCGACTAATATGGCAGTATGCCCCTTGACCGGATTCAAGAAAGCCCAGCTGCCCTGACTCCACAGTCGATGAGCGACTACTCTCGCTTCACCGCGGATCACCAGATCCAACGGTGGGAGATCCAACAGAGCTTCCATTGCACTCAATGGCGTTGTTCGCACTGCGCTTGTAATGCTAATACAGGCCAAACGCTGAATTTTATTGAGTTTGGCCTTAGTTGACTCAGTTCTAATGCAAGGCCACCAGACCAGGGAGCCGTACAAGAGAGATGGACGTACTATCGTCGTGTAGAGCCAGTATACCACTTTGGGTTTAAGCCCCCACCTTACACCGACAACACGTCTACAAGCCCACATCGAATTGCGAGCCTTGCTAACCTTGTGTTCCACATGCTCTCTCCAGTTCAGTTTGGAGTCCAGGATAATTCCCAGATATTTCACTGACTGGGACAAAACTAATCTAGTCCCAAAGAAGGTAGGCATGACCAGTCCGTCAAGCCTTCTTCTCCTAGTGAATAGGATCAGCTCGGTCTTTTCAGCATTAACAGAAAGATCGACTTCCCTACACCACGATTCCACGGAGCGCAGAGCGCCCTGCATAATTTCCGAGACTGTTCTACAGAAACGCCCCCTAACCACTATGCTTACGTCATCAGCATAGGCTTGCACGTAGACACCCATACTGTTGAGCCTAACGAGCAGTTCGTTCACCACGATACACCACAGTAGGGGTGACAGAACTCCACCCTGAGGGCAGCCTCTAGCTACGTTCACGCTGCAGCTTACGTTATTCAGCATAGCTGTTGTTACCCGACCCTCCAGAGTAGAGAGGACCCAATCTATTAGGATTGATCCAACCCCGTGTCTAACCAAGGCCTGTCTGATAGAGTCGGTTGTGGTGCAATTAAATGCACCTTCAATATCTAAGAAGGCCACGAGTGCCACTTCTCGCTGATCTAGAGTCTTCTCCAGCCTCCCAACCAGATTGTGTAAGGCCAGATCAGTCGATTTTCCAGCTTGGTATGCAAACTGATTTGCATGAATGACACACCTTTCCAGTGGGCCATCCCTTAGGTATCTATCAACTATCCTTTCCAGGGTCTTAAGCACAAAAGATGAAAGAGTAATCGGTCGAAAATCCTTCGGGCCAGTATATCTATCTCTGCCCGGTTTAGGAATGAATACCACTTTAGCCTGCCGCCAACTTCTAGGTGTGAAGCCCGTGGCCACACATGCTCGAAACACATTCAACAGGTAAGGAACAACCGAAATCCGTCCCTGCTGTAACATGGCCGGAAATACGCCGTCCAGACCTGGACTTTTGTATGGGGCAAACGAATCTACTGCCCATACCGTCCTTTCGAAGGTGACAATCTCCCTTGCCGTGCGCCAGTCCTCCCTTGAGGGCCTGCGCAACTGCATGCACTCTGTGATTGATCGCGCTACTGTGGAACCGGGAAAGTGCGTATCCATCAGAAGCCTCAGAGTATCTTCCTCGGAAGTAGTGTTCCCTCCCGAGGGATCATGCAGAGATCCCAATCTTGCTTTAGTGTCTTTGCATAGGACTCTGTGTATTCTTGCAGTAGCAGGAATGTCATTTATGGACTGACAGAAGTGCCTCCAGGATTCTCTGGAGGCCCTTCTAATCTCCTTTTTGTACTCCTGCAATGCCTTTTTGTATTCTTCCCATAGAGGAGAACCTCTCCTGTGCTTAACTCTGCTAAGAAGTTTGTGCACCGCTCGTTTTCTATCCTCTAAATCTTTGGTCCAGAAGGTTGCCTTGCCCTTACCTTGTACTTTGCGTAACGGGCAGTTTTCCTCATATGCGGCCGTCAAGTCCCTGCTCAGAGACTCGACAGCTGCTTCTATGTCAGAGCCCCTGCCAAGCCTGTATGGGACCGCTCCAAGCTTACTGTCAATGTCTGCCCTAAAGGACCCCCATCTAGTATGCCTGGGATTCCGAGCATATTTATCCGGAATCTCTCCATCAGTCTTGAACAGTATATACCTGTGATCCGATAGAGAGGGTGTTAGAGACACTTTCCAGTCCCTGATGTCCTGAGCTAAGTTAAGCGTGCTCAGTGTTACGTCGATAACCTCTTCTCTTACACTATTGCTGAAAGTGGGCATGTTACCGACATTCAGAACCTCAAGGTTCGATGCCCCAAGAAACTCCATCAGGTCTTCGCCTCGTCTGTTGGTGTTCGAGCTGCCCCACGCAACGTGATGGGCATTACTGTCGCATCCAATCACAAGGTCGAGTCCAGAATCCCTACAGAATGCGACAAGGTCCCCCATTTCCTTAGACGGAGGAGGGTCTCTTGAATCGTAAGGAAGGTAAGCCGAACAGACAACCAAGTCCCTGTCACTGCCTTCCTTCTTATATCTAATTCTGACTGCAACTAAGTCTCTAAATGTAAATTCTTTAAGTTGCCATGAGTTGACGGAAGTCATTACGCAAGCTCTGGGCTTAGTGTCCGGAGTATCGCTAAAAAGCGTATAGCCCGGTATACTAAGCCCGTTTACTGAACCGTTTCTCAGCCAGGGTTCCTGGATGAGAGCCACGTCATGTCGGCCTCGAGTGATCTCCTGAGTAAGGGCCCTCGAAGCCGCTATGCAGTGTTGTAAGTTAATTTGGATGAAATTAAAACTTACCATGGATGTTGAGAGGCCCTTCCTACACCTTCTCGAATGACGGTATGTAACCCCTATTCGGGCGTACCGCCGTCGCGGCCGCAGTCATCGCTGCCACAGCCGCCTTCATCTCCGCTTCCACGGAGGAGTTCTCGGACTCGGTTCAGGATTCCATCCTCGTCCGAGTCGCTATCGTTTTCCTCTGGGACCAGATCCATCGCAGGGTCCGCCACGATGTTTTCTGCGGATATCCCGCTTGGACCCGCCGCCTCCACGTCCGTAGCCTCCGGTGGCTCCAGCGAGAGCTGACCCGGCCGACCCATCCCCTGTGAAGGAGCCTGGTCTACCGCCACAGCTCCCGTCGGTCTGGGCTGGTCCGACTCCTGGTTTGGAGCCAGGCCAGTTCCAGCAGGTGTCGCTCCACTGCTCTTCTTCTTGCTCAGGAGTGTAAACACCCCCGAACTTCCACCGCAACACAGCCTGTTGCCGTTACCTACAATGACCTTCCAGCTTATGGAATCAACGGAGAGACCTGGTTTAGTAGGATGACTATTACTTGAATTTAAAACTGTATTGGGCGACACTGGTATGGTAAGATATCTGAGACGTGAAGGGTCCTGCGGATTATTACGATCAAACATTGAAAAATGATCTTCACAAGCAGCGGTGGCCGCAGTAGTAGACTCTTCGGTCTCCTGATCAGTCGCCGTGCGCTGTGCGGGTTCGAGTCCCGTCCCAGGAGAAATTTTTCTCATGGCTATGGATGTTGTGATTGTCCGTAGGTGGTAGATGGTCTCTGACTGTCGAACGCGGGGGTACCACCCGGCGGTTCTCGTAGGCGGAGCCAGAATGTGTGCATGTTGCATGCACACGTGTTCCCTCGCCAGAGTCCGTGTGGCGTCCCCCCCTTTCCCATGTATCCCCCTATAACCCCACGGTACCCAATGGGTGCTTAGGCCTTAGGCCTTCGTGGTAGTTGGAATATAAAAAAAAAACAAACATAATAATTGGAAACTTTACGAGAAGGAGATATCTTACAAGCTGCCTTCCATGCAGCAACAGTTTTTTCATCTTTTGGAAAACGATGGAATTTTATTTTTGTATATACAAGCAGATTTCCAAACAATGTGGAAATAGGAATTTTTGCAAGGATATTTGCATCAGTACTTTAAAGTAGCGATGTACAAAGAGGCAACTCCAAATTCAGACATGACTGATTTACAAAAGAAAAACAAGCTTATTGAAGTATGCAATCTTAAGTATTCCTGCACACAATCACAAGTTGTTTTACATTGAAAAATATATGACAAAGGTTATTAGTACTATTATTATATGAAGATTATGAACGATAAGTTCTCGATTGGGAATTAAATCAATAATTAAAAGTTTAATGTGTGGCTTACCCGAATAAAAACAGATTGAAAAGAAAATGGAAGTTCCCAGGGAAAGTCAAACTGTCGTTTGTCAAAAATCAAACTATGTTGGTAAGAACGTATCCTAGATTTTGCCTGGAGATTTATGTGTTTTATGCCTGGAGAGAATGACCTTGGTGTTGCCGGTTCGCCCATAAGACGTTTCACCTCCCTGATCCAAGTAAGCAGGTTTTTTTTTTTTTTTTTTTTTTTTTTTTTTGGCACTAGGACATTGCCCCATTAGCCAGAATCAAGTATTTATCTATTATATCATACAGACATATATAATTTAAGACGTGTAAAATGGCAATGACGTAGCAAGCAGATCCCCTCAGCTATCAGGGTATTGCAGGAAAGACATTTTGGTGGCACAGTCGTATTTGGGCGAAGGAGCAAGTACTTAACAAACAGTATGGAGAAAATGATTATTAAATTTCTTCTAATGCACACTCTCCACTCTGGATGAAAAACAAAAAAGTAAATATAGAAGAACTAAGAAAGTGTTATCAGGAGGGGGCGGGGGTTAAGCATTACACACAAATTTTCAGATGACATTAGTGTCTAAAGGATACCATAACTACATATTAAACCTATGCAACTCTAAGGGGGAGGAGAGAGGATGGGTCAGACAGGGACACACGTTCTTCTCGCCCAGGGACCCGTCAGGGCATTTTTCATTTTTCACATACAACAATTAGGCCACGGATATGAAGGATATATTTATACATAAAGGTACAAAAAACAGAGGATAACTAAAATACGATTGTTATATTTTGATGCCAGAATTTCTGATAAATTTAACAACGAGAATGATCACATCAGATCTACCTAGCGAAAATACATGAGATGTATTTAGGGGGGCAGATATACCAGATTTCACCAAATCGGAGTAGAGTGCATTGCAGTGATCCAGGAATTTAGCGCAACCAAAGAAACAGTGATCCAAGTCACCATAAACTTCACAAACATCGCACAGTGCAGATGGGACCAAATTTAATCTTGCAAGGTGTGATGGAAAAACACCATGTCCTATTTTCGCACGGGTGATGCAAGAAATATATTTTCTGGGTATTTTGAAATTTTCGTGCCAGTATCCTCGTGGCAGGCTAGGGTGTATGAGGTTGTATCTTGTAGGATTAGTAAAACAGTATTCTATCCATTCACTGCGCCATCGCTTGAGCAAATTACCTTTAAGTATCACTCGATTGTCTTGCATGCTTAAGGGTATGTCCAGCTTAGTTCCAGATGTTATACTCATCTTTGCTAGATCGTCAGCTTTTTCGTTGTGTATTATCCCAGAGTGGGCCTTCACCCAAACTAGTGTAATCCTGAGGCCTCGTTGTTTTAGCTGACTTATTTTCCATCTTATGTTGAATAAGTGTATATTTTGCATATCGAAAGGACTGCCGTTTTTTAAACTACTGTAAGCAGGTTTGGAACACAAAACGTATACACTGAAAAAGGTTTAATTCCATGCTAGCCAATGGCAACACGGTGACTTGTGTGGTTGTCAGCGGCCATTTTTTGAGGGTGCGACAGGATTGCCAGATTGTACATTAATACCCCGCAACGTTGCCAGCTCTACATAGAAATCTGAGATTGCTATTCATTTATATATAGAAATTTGGTGAGATATGGGAGATCTTATAACAGCATGTGTTATCAACATTTTGTGCTATCTTGACGAATATGTGCTTTTTTGTATGTTAAAATAGCAACGTCAGTAACACAAGCTGTTATAAGATCACTCTACTTACTAATCTGGAAAGGCTTAAAAGAAAAAGATATATTGCAAATACCTATATAAATATTCATTTTATAAATCTGACACATTTTTCTACAAACAAATCAGTATAAACTTCATTATGGTCCAGATGTTTTCATTCCCCAGCTTTTGTTGGCACCTGCATACATCAAAAATTAGGAAACAATTGAATTGTGTTCATATTTCAGATTTATTTTTTTATTAGGATAATGATATTATTGTCCACCGGTACCCACAGGAATTTTTCTCAGAGGTGCTGATCATCATCAAGAGATAACTTTTTGTGAAATTGTACCTGCCCCCAAAATTTTTTGATGAGCAGATGAAGCAGTTTTCTCAGGAGGGGACGAATCCTAAAAAATTCTCAAAGTTGTACATAAAAGCATGCTAAATATGCAAACTTTAAGGTCAAAGCAGATTCCCAGAAGAGACCATAGCCCCTCTGACAACACCCTGTGGGCACCCATGTTATTGTTCAATAACAACATGTGGCTTCGATTTCATTGCAACTATAGTGAGCTTTGCATATCAACCCTGCTGCTCTGAAAATAGGTGATTGAAAACGAAGTATGGAAACTAATTTGGACAAAAAGCAGTACAAATCATCACTGGTTATCGAGTCATATAAAAACTTACAAATGTTATGGTCTGCAAAAATCCTTCAGAGCTGTGCCTTTTGGTTAGATCAGAAGTAATCTTCGATCTTCTGATAGTTCTCAGGACCTCACCACGGCATCTGTTGAACTATTCAAAAAATGATGTGGAGATACAAATAGGTACGATCTTCAAATATTACATTTCTCAAATGAGTAACCGCTGTATCTCTCTTCCCCAGGATCTGCCAGAAGCCTGACTACTGACTTGGATCACCTTAAAAAAGAAAGTTTTGATTTGGAGTTTGTCTTATAGTATTTACAAATATTTACAGCTTTGTGTACTTACATTTTTATACTTCACATCTCTGAACAAAAGGCATGTCTCAAATAACATAATACGGACTTTATTGAATTAAAATGAAATCTTAAGAAAATGACATGCTGAATAAAGTAAGGTTATATTTGCAAGGCACACCAGGAAACCGGCCGGAAATTTAAATCTGACCAATCAGACAACGTCAGTTGTGAATAAGCCGCCATTTTTTGAGGGTGCAACATGGTTGTTATATTGTGAACCAGCAACACTGCTTTTTCCATTCTCATTTATGCGTTTCACCCCCCTGAATAACATAACCTATTATAAAGGTCAGTTTTACTCACAAAACATATAAACTGAAGAATTCCATGCTATTCAATGGGAACACGGTGACTTGTGTGCTTGTCAGCGGCCATTTTCGAGGGTGCGACACGTTTGCCAGATTGTGCATTAATACCCCGCAACGTTGCCAGCTCTACAAATAAATCTGAGATTGGTCATCATGTAAAGATAATGATGCTAAAATGACGTCAATGTCACGTGCCAAAATCACGTAAACTTTTTTTACTATTTATCAATTATCCGTAATTTGAATTTCTCTTCATTGATAATAGAGTGCTCATTCCAAGGCCAAACTCTTTTCAATGATTTTCTTTAGGCAAATTTAATAGTTTATTGATTGTAAAATTTCACACGTATTATATCTTTCTTTCTCAGCGATTCAGTATGGTGTTGACGATCCGCAAAAAACTCCGTAGTTTTTCTCAGTTAGTTGGTTTCTTATAAAACATATTTTCTTCAAGGCCACTCAAGATACCTTCTTTCTTTTCTGTTTCCGTTGAGGTCGTGGTGCAGGGGTCGTTTCGTCATTAGCACCCCTTTTTTGTGTAACTTAAGTTTAGTCATTTTGGTTTGGGTGCTACGTCTTCAATTTTTTTTATGAGATTTTGTCTCTCAGCGTCAATAGAAACAGGGGAGAATCATCATCCTTTCTCCTCCAGTTGGTTGCATCTTGTTAGAGTTTTGCAAATTGGTGGAAGCCATCCCCTTGAAAAAAAAAGAGATTGACTCTTCTTGAACCACGGTAAGTAGCTGTAGCTGCCTTTCGTGGCAACGAAGTCTTCGGACCTGACTCTTGTTGAAGGTTTATAGTTGCTTTCCTTCAAGTTACACCCGTATCCAGATGTCATGTAAATGTGTTTTCGCTTCGGTGTTTTCCATTCACATCCATTTGGTGAAGCTAGCTTAGCTTAGGTTAGGTTAGGTTTCTTGGGTGTGCATCAATAACGATCATCCTCTGCGACTCTTTGGTCACTTGATAGATGTTGTGTTCAAAAACTAGTCCCAATAAATTGTAAAGGACCATATTTAATAAAAATACCCGATATATAGAAAGCAGCTTTTCGTTTTCAAAGTTATTTCATGTTTACATACCGACATGAAGATGGCGCACCCTAGCTCTGCCTGGAAGATCGATGCTCAGGTTCCTAGGCTAACAGATTTTTCAACCTTTAGCTTCGGTACACCTACCTCGGTCTTGGAGCCATCTGTGTATGGACGGATATCTTTCCTTATCAGGTTAACTTGCTGTTCCCACTCATTCCTGTGTGAAATTGTCACTGAGTAGGGTTTATCATATCTTGTTGTCATTGGCATTATATCAGAAAGGATTCCCAGACTGGGTGGTTTTGCAAGTCCATCAGCGTGTGTGTCTCCTCCATAGTGTCGATTATACCATTTGTCACATCGAAATTTGATGACGTTATAGTCCTGGCGATATCGAAAAGTATAGCAACAAACAGAATCAACACCCAGTTAGGGGTGTACCTATGTTTTTATCGAAAAAGACAGAAAATTAAATCCTGACCCCAAATATCAAATTCACTTTTTAGGCTTTAGTTGACTCCTTTGACGGTAATCTCTAGCTTTCGGCAATTGTCTATGGAGCCTTCATCATAAGCTAGCATCATCATTGTGTTTTCAGCTCTTGATGAAGGCTCCATATAGAATTGCAGAAAGCTAGAGATTACCATCAACAGAGTTAACCAGAGCCTAAAAAGTTTGCCAATTGTAAAGGACCATATTTAATAAAAATACCCGATATATAGAAATCAGTTTTCAGTTTTCAAAGTTATTTCATGTTTACATTCCGACATGAAAGATGGCGCACCCTAGCTCTGCCGGGAAGATCGATGCTCAGGTTCCTAGGCTAACAGATTTTTTAACCTTTAGCTTCTGCACGAAGATACCAGCTCCAACACCTACCTCGGTTTTGGAGCCATCTGTGTATGCACGGATATCTTTCCTTATCAGGTTAACTTGCTGTTCCCACTCATTCCTGTGTGGAATTGTCACTGAGTAGGGTTTAGCATATCTTGTTGTCTTTGGCATTATATCAGAAAGCATTCCCAGACTGTGGTGGTTTTGTAAGTCCACCAGCATGTGCGTCTCCATAGTGTCGATTATACCATTTGCCACATGATGAAGCTAATTTGCTGTGTTTCCGATGCGTTGGACAAAAATGTCCACGTCGTTGCTATTCAGCATCATATTAAGACTTGCTGGAGTTGGCCTTCGTATCTATGTTGCAAAGTGCATTTGCACGATAGAGAATTCTTCGTGAGTGTTAGCGGGTATAAATCCATCATAGGAAGTTCCTCAGGGTAGCCAAATGGGTCCACTATTCTTTTTAATTTATATAAATAATATAGCACAATGTTTCTGCCATTGCCAATTTCTTCTTTACGTATCTGACTTAAAGACATATCGTATAGTTGAAAGCCTTCAAAACTGCGTCGAAATACAATCTGGTATCGACTTTTATATATAGAAATTTGGTGGGTTATGGCAGATCTTATAACAGCATGTGTTATTAACATTTTACGCTATCTTGACGAATAAGTGCTTTCTTTGTACATTAAAATAGCAACGTGAATAACACAAGCTGCAATAAGATCACTTATATCTACTTACTAATCTGGAAAGGTTCAGAAGAAAAACATGTACTGCAAATACCTAAATATACCTGTATATTGATTATATAAATCTCATACATTTTTCCACAAACCAATCAGTATTAACATTATTATGGTCCAGATGTTTTCATTCCCCAGCCTTTGTGGCACCTGCATAAATTAAAAATTAGGAAAAAATTAAACTGTGTTGGTATGTTACTACAATTCAGATTTCTTTTTTATTAGAACAATATTATTGTCCATGGACACCCACAGGAATTTTTCTCAGGGGTGCTGATCATCATCACCTGCCCCCCCCCCCATTGTACCTGCCACCAAAATTTTTTGACGAGCAGAGGTAGCAACTTTTTCAGGGGGGACAAATCTTAAAAAATTGGTACACAAAACATGCTAAATATGCAACTTTTAAACTCAAAGCGGATTCCCAGAAGAGACCATGGTCCCCCTGAGACGGCCCTGTGGGCACACATGCTATTATTCAATAACATCGTCGCTTCAGAGCAGAAGTAGCTTAACTGCAAAAATCGAATTTTACAGGAGAGAGTTTTTTTCACTCCACATTCAGGTTTTTGACACAATCGTTGTACAAATTATATTATTGTCACTCAGGGTCATGCTTTTTTTAAAGTTTAGTCAAACAGAATGAATTTTGCATATTTTGGAAAATCTGGATATAGCATAGTTTATATTATTGGACGTGTGAGTTAGGATAGTTCTACGAGAAGATACGATATGCAGGGATAATCGATAAGCTACATAGGATAGTTCTGTAGTGTTATTTTTTTTTAAGTAAAACCAAAACACATTTTTGTCAAATTATTTATTTTAATTTTACTGGGGGGTAATGAAAAGGAAATATTTCACAAAAAATACATTAAATAAATAACGACACAAACAAGTGATTGAACTTATACATAATACATGTATAGATAATAAAATCATAAAAATAAAAACATTCTTTTAAGGTGTGTTATTTAAAACTAAAATTAGGTAGTTTGAAAACAAAAGAAAGGCAAACTTTGTCAAAAAGCAGGCAACAACCGAACAATTAATTCAAATCAGAATCCGAATCTATATTTTCTTGTGCAGCATAAGGAAGGTTCTTAAAGAATTCGTGATATTGTGGCAATATGGCTTTTTTCTGACATAAAAACTGCAAATGATCAAATTTTTTCTTTGATAGCGGAAGCTTTCTTAAATAGCACTTCTTTAACTCGGTATTTTTTATATCTACATTATCTTTTTTGCGTCGGCCTTTTTCAACCAGATTAATAATTTTGAAAGGTTCCGATTCATCGTAGCTGTATTTAAAAATATTTTATTCGGAAACTGGACGTTAGAAACAACAATTCGAAATTTATTAAGATGAATCTTTTCATTTGTTTCGTCTTTCTCCCAGTTAATAGTAGTCGATTGTTGCAAAAGCTTCAAATCGAATACGTCATTCTGAGAAATTTCTACAACTTCGTAAGGTTGACGTCTCTTCGCAGTTCGCACTAACGTGTACCATTGTTCAGGGGTATAAATAGGGATATGTCTAGCAGACCGCGGTGACTCTAGCAACAACGGCCAGCCAGCAACAAACGATAGTCCCTCTTCTCACCAGCGGCCGCGTCGCGCTGGACACCATCGCGCGTCGCTACAGCCGCGAAGCCGGCGCAGCGTAAGCAGGCGGTGCGGCACCGTCTTCCCATGTAAAACGGTGTTATAGTATCTACACAAAATTATATACATTGTGTGTTGTCAGTGTTATCACACTATCTATCACATTCCGTGGCCGGGGCATATTAAGCCTACCAGAGGGAGTGAAAGTTACCTATACGAAACTCACATGGAAATCTGAAAATTAAAATTCTCAATTTTTTTTCAAATCAACACCACATTTTCTTCACCAAAATCAATGCTACAATGTATCCTTCATATCCGGGATCGATTACATCTCGTGGCCGGGGCATATTAAGCCTACCAGATGGAGCGAAAGTTACCTATACGAAACGAACATGGAAATTTGAAAATTAAAATACTCAATTTTTCTTCAAATCAACACCACTTTTTTTTCACGAAAATCAATTTTACAATGTATCCTTCATATCCGGGATCGATTACATCTCGTGGCCGGGGCATATTAAGCCTACCAGAGGGAGCGAAAGTTACCTATACGAAACGAACATGGAAATTTGAAAATTAAAATTCTCAATTTTTTTTCAAATCAACACCACTTTTTTTTCACGAAAATCAATTTTACAATGTATCCTTCATATCCGGGATCGATTACATCTCGTGGCCGGGGCATATTAAGCCTACCAGATGGAGCGAAAGTTACCTATACGAAAAGCACATGGAAATTTGAAAATTAAAATACTCAATTTTTCTTCAAATCAACACCACTTTTTTTTCACGAAAATCAATTTTACAATGTATCCTTCATATCCGGGATCGATTACATCTCGTGGCCGGGGCATATTAAGCCTACCAGAGGGAGCGAAAGTTACCTATACGAAACGCACATGGAAATTTGAAAATTAAAATACTCAATTTTTTTCAAATCAACACCACTTTTTTTTCACGAAAATCAATTTTACAATGTATCCTTCATATCCGGGATCGATTACATCTCGTGGCCGGGGCATATTAAGCCTACCAGAGGGAGCGAAAGTTACCTATACGAAACGAACATGGAAATTTGAAAATTAAGATTCTCAATTTTTTTTCAAATCAACACCACTTTTTTTTCACGAAAATCAATTCTACAATGCATCCTTCATATCTGGGATCGATTACATCTCGTGGCCGGGGCATATTAAGCCTACCAGAGGGAGCGAAAGTTACCTATACGAAACGCACATGGAAATTTGAAAATTAAAATACTCAATTTTTCTTCAAATCAACACCACTTTTTTTCACGAAAATCAATTTTACAATGTATCCTTCATATCCGGGATCGATTACATCTCGTGGCCGGGGCATATTAAGCCTACCAGAGGGAGCGAAAGTTACCTATACGAAACGCACATGGAAATTTGAAAATTAAAATACTCAATTTTTTTTCAAATCTACACCACTTTTTTTTCATGAAAATCAATTTTACAATGTATCCTTCATATCCGGGATCGATTACATCTCGTGGCCGGGGCATATTAAGCCTACCAGAGGGAGCGAAAGTTACCTATACGAAACGCACATGGAAACTTGAAAATTAAAATACTCAATTTTTCTTCAAATCAACACCACTTTTTTTTCACGAAAATCAATTTTACAATGTATCCTTCATATCCGGGATCGATTACATCTCGTGGCCGGGGCATATTAAGCCTACCAGATGGAGCGAAAGTTACCTATACGAAAAGCACATGGAAATTTGAAAATTAAAATTCTCAATTTTTTTCATATCAACACCACTTTTTTTTCACGAAAATCAATTCTACAATGCATCCTTCATATCCGGGATCGATTACATCTCGTGGCCGGGCATATTAAGCCTACCAGAGGGAGCGAAAGTTACCTATACGAAACGCACATGGAAATTTGAAAATTAAAATACTCAATTTTTTTCAAATCAACACCACTTTTTTTTCACGAAAATCAATTCTACAATGCATCCTTCATATCCGGGATCGATTACATCTCGTGGCCGGGGCATATTAAGCCTACCAGATGGAGCGAAAGTTACCTATACGAAAAGCACATGGAAATTTGAAAATTAAAATACTCAATTTTTCTTCAAATCAACACCACTTTTTTTTCACGAAAATCAATTTTACAATGTATCCTTCATATCCGGGATCGATTACATCTCGTGGCCGGGGCATATTAAGCCTACCAGATGGAGCGAAAGTTACCTATACGAAAAGCACATGGAAATTTGAAAATTAAAATACTCAATTTTTCTTCAAATCAACACCACTTTTTTTTCACGAAAATCAATTTTACAATGTATCCTTCATATCCGGGATCGATTACATCTCGTGGCCGGGGCATATTAAGCCTACCAGATGGAGCGAAAGTTACCTATACGAAAAGCACATGGAAATTTGAAAATTAAAATTCTCAATTTCTTTCAAATCAACACCACTTTTTTTCACGAAAATCAATTCTACAATGCATCCTTCATATCCGGGATTGATTACATCTCGTGGCCGGGGCATATTAAGCCTACCAGATGGAGCGAAAGTTACCTATACGAAAAGCACATGGAAATTTGAAAATTAAAATACTCAATTTTTCTTCAAATCAACACCACTTTTTTTCACGAAATCAATTTTACAATGTATCCTTCATATCCGGGATCGATTACTCTCGTGGCCGGGGCATATTAAGCCTACCAGAGGGAGCGAAAGTTACCTATACGAAACGAACATGGAAATTTGAAAATTAAAATACTCAATTTTTTTTCAAATCACACCACTTTTTTTTCACGAGAAATCAATTCTACAATGCATCCTTCATATCCGGGATCGATTACATCTCGTGGCCGGGGCATATTAAGCCTACCAGAGGGAGCGAAAGTTACCTATACGAAACGCACATGGAAATTGAAAATTAAAATACTCAATTTTTTTTTCAAATCTACACCACTTTTTTTTCACGAAAATCAATTTTACCAATGTATCCTTCATATCCGGGATCGATTACATCTCGTGGCCGGGGCATATTAAGCCTACCAGATGGAGCGAAAGTTACCTATACGAAAAGCACATGGAAATTTGAAAATTAAAATACTCAATTTTTCTTCAAATCAACACCACTTTTTTTTCATGAAAATCAATTTTACAATGTATCCTTCATATCCGGGATCGATTACATCTCGTGGCCGGGGCATATTAAGCCTACCAGAGGGAGCGAAAGTTACCTATACGAAACGAACATGGAGATTTGAAAATTAAGATTCTCAATTTTTTTTTCAAATCAACACCACTTTTTTTTCACGAAAATCAATTCTACAATGCATCCTTCATATCTGGGATCGATTACATCTCGTGGCCGGGGCATATTAAGCCTACCAGAGGGAGCGAAAGTTACCTATACGAAACGCACATGGAAATTTGAAAATTAAAATACTCAATTTTTCTTCAAATCAACACCACTTTTTTTTCACGAAAATCAATTTTACAATGTATCCTTCATATCCGGGATCGATTACATCTCGTGGCCGGGGCATATTAAGCCTACCAGAGGGAGCGAAAGTTACCTATACGAAACGCACATGGAAATTGAAAATTAAAATACTCATTTTTTCTTCAAATCAACACCACTTTTTTTTCATGAAAATCAATTTTACAATGTATCCTTCATATCCGGGATCGATTACGTCTCGTGGCCGGGGCAATATTAAGCCTACCAGAGGGAGCGAAAGTTACCTATACGAAACGCACATGGAAATTTGAAAATTAAAATACTCAATTTTTCTTCAAATCCACACACTTTTTTTCATGAAAATCAATTTTACAATGTATCCTTCATATCCGGGGATCGATTACATCTCGTGGCCGGGGCATATTAAGCCGACCAGAGGGAGTGAAGTTACCTATACGAAACGCACATGGAAATTTGAAATTAAAATTCCTCAATTTTTTCTTCAAATCCACACCACTTTTTTTTCATGAAAATCAATTTTACAATGTATCCTTCATATCCGGGGTCGATTACATCTCGTGGCCGGGGCTATTAAGCCTACCAGAGGGAGTGAAAGTTACCTATACGAAACTCACATGGAAATTTCGGAAATTAAATTCCCAATTTTTCTTCAATCAACACCACTTTTTTTTCATGAAAATCAATTTTACAATGTATCCTTCATATCCGAGGATCGATTACATCTCGTGGCCGGGGCATATTAAGCCTACCAGAGGGGAGCGAAAGTTACCTATACGAAACGCACATGGAAATTTGAAAATTAAAATTCTCAATTTTTTTTCAAATCAACACCACTTTTTCTTCACGAAAATCAATTCTACAATGTATCCTTCATATCCGGATCGATTTACATCTCGTGGCCGGGGCATATTAAGCCTACCAGATGGAGCGAAAGTTTACCTATACGAAAAGCACATGGAAACTTGAAATTAAAATACTCAATTTTTCTTCAAATCAACACCACTTTTTTTTTCATGAAAATCAATTTTACAATGTATCCTTCATATCCGGGATCGATTACATCTCGTGGCCGGGGCATATTAAGCCTACCAGAGGGAGCGAAAGTTACCTATACGAAACGAACATGGAAATTTGGAAATTAAAATTCTCAATTTTTTTTCAAATCAACACCACTTTTTTTCATGAAAATCAATTTTACAATGTATCCTTCATATCCGGGATAGATTACATCTCGTGGCCGGGGCATATTAAGCCTACCAGAGGGAGCGAAAGTTACCTATACGAACGAACATGGAAATTTGAAAATTAAAAT